TATTCTGCATAAATCACATTGTACAGTTTAGACACAGTTCACCATTCTTACCAAATAATGGGATGAGAACACTCCTAAAATCCAGTTTCCCAGACACCAGCCAACGGCCAACCTTGCAAGTGGGCCTTTCTAGGGACAGCCATCTCAGGCTGCTACGTTAACTATTTTCTGCACACTAATGTAACTTTCTAAAAGTTGTTTTTTGCACTCATCAAAATGTTTTTGAGCTCTAACTGTATGTATGTGTACATTTCTTTTAATTGCTTTATAGTCTCTCACTTGAAAACAAAGCATTAATGGGTGTGTTCTTATGTGCAAGCGTTTCTCCGGTACACTGTGAATGAAATGTTTGTGTCATAAGGCATTTTAGATGTTGATATGAACTATTTAATGTCCCCACAACAAAGCATGAATACCTATTCTGCCACATACTTAAAAAAAAAGTGTTATGAAACTATTTTATTTTTCTCAGAAGAATGTGTGAAAAATCGTATCTCATTGTGGTTTTACTTTGCATTTTTTATTGTAAGTGACTCTTTATTGAAATGGCTTTTTGAGAATGCTGTTTAATTATGCATTTATATGGAGGGACTAAAAGGAGGATGACTGGCATAAATTAGAGACGTGAGTGTCTCCAAGTACCCAGAGTTTGATTTTGCCTCTGACATGCATGATTCCTAGATTCTGGCAACTAGGTTTCTTTTTCTTTTCTTTCTTTCTTTTTTTTTTTTTTTTTTTTGAGACAGAGTCTCACTCTGTCACCCAGGCTGGAGTGCAGTGTTGTGAGATCATAGGTCACTGAAGCCTTGACCTCCTTGGGCTCAAGGGATCCTCCTGCCTCAGCCTCCCAAGTAGCTGAGACTACAGGTACATGCCATCATGCCTAATTTTTTTTTTTTTTTATTTTTAGTAGAGACAGGGTCTCACTGTATTGCCCAGCCTGGTCTCAAACTTTGGGTTCAAGTGATCATCCTGCTTTAGCCTCCCAAAGTGCTGGGATTACAGGGATGAGCCACCTCAGCGGGCTTAGGTTTCTTAAATGAGCCTAACAAAGCTACTCTTGGTCAAATGAAAAGTTATACCTTCTTGCACATCTTACGGCATTTCTATGAGTCTACTAGGGCTACCATAATACAACACTACAGACTGGGTGGCTTAAACATCAGAAATTAATTTTCTCATAGTTCTGGAGATTGAAAATCAAAATGTTGGTAAGTTTGTAAGTTTCCACAAGACCAGCTTCTGGGGGCTCTCTCCTTGGCTTGCAGAAGGCTGCCTTCTTGCTGTGTCTTCACATGGTCTCTCCTCTGCGTGCTCCCATCTCTGGTTTCTCTGTGTCCTAGTCTCCTCTTCTGATAAGGACATCAGTCATATTGGATTAAGGGCTCACCCCAATGTTAACCTCTCTTTAAAGAACTCATCTCCAAATACAGTCACATTTTGAAGTACTGGAGATGGGGGTTCAATATATAAATTTTGGCAGGAGGACGCAGTTCAGCTCACAATTCCATTTCTCTTTCAACTTGAACTCTAACAGGTAATTTAGCTGAGAAGTAACTTAGCACTTTCTCCAGGGGACGGAAATAAGGAAAAGTGAATGATTTCAAATTACTCAGAGACAAAATTCTACATGCCAGTTGCTCCTTTTTTTCTGGGAGCTTGCCCTGTACAATGGCAGGTAACTTAGTTTTCATCATTTTATTCAATAAATACGTATTGAATATTTAATCAGCCTCTAGGGATACAAAATCTAGGAAGAACTACCTTTGAGAGTGGTTTCTCTAAAGAGAGGTTGGACAAAGAGTCCCAAGGCAAGGCAAAAACATTTTAGGGTCTTCATGGATGTGAAGCTGGTAGGACAGGTTCAAGTATTTTCCTTAGCTCATACTAAGAATCACTCACTCAAAGGTACAAAGCAGGAAATCATCCCTTTCTCCTTCATTATCTCTGCATCATAGGGTGACAGCTTCCTATGTTCACACAAGCAAATCTTTATATTTAGCCAGTGGAGGTGAGGCTGAGCTGACCAGCTGGTCCCTGTTTGGTCCTCATGATTCCCCTTTTGTTTGGAGTTCCTTTATTTAGCTAACAGCTAACTGCTGCCACAATAGAGCTGATTCTCAGCAAGGGACATAACCTCTCCTTTGACATTCTCATCCAAGGAGGAACATACACCCTTTCCTTGGTTCCTCTGATGGTATATGAGATGACTCAAATTTTCAAAATGATTTATACTCAGTACTAATGAAGAATATGATAAAACATAAGACTTTATCTAACTTGCTAACAGGGCTCATAATCTTTGTCTCATTTCTTGTCCAGTCCAAAAATCCCATTTTCATTCTTAGGATTTTTCCCCCTTTCCACGTGAGGAGTTTTAGCTACACAGACTTTCAGGGAGAAAGAGCAGGTGGTAGGTAAGTTGGTTGGTTGACTCTTTCTGTTAAAACCACAGTGTGAGTCTTCACCCTTCTTCAGATGAAACACGGAAAATAACCTTTGTACTGCAGAATCTCATGTCTCTCCTTGCTATAGTCTGGGTCAAAGGTATTTCCCTACACTGCTTCTCCTTCCTTCACATAGTCTCAACTTTCATATACTACCACTAAGCAGTATTTTCTTTCTTTCTCCTTTTTTTCTTAGCAGTTACTTGGTAGAAATAAATAGTATTTTCTAGTTCAAGACTATTCTCAGTGTTCATTTAAAACCAAATTCATCTAGCTGTAGAAAAGGCCACTATGTATCTACAGACAGTGTAGAAGAGACCATGTTCTTGGTAAGTAGGTAACTGGTTCAATTCAGGTTATGGCTCTGTCACTAGTTATCACCTGTATTTATTTGGAGCCTAAGTACATAGATGTGCATCAGCTTTGACTTGAGAAATCACCACAACCCCACCTCTCAAGTTCGATGGTGGTAGCTGGGAACAAGTTTTAACATTAAACAAGACTTTACTGATGGCTAGGGGATGAAGTATAAGGGAATCACAACATAAAGAGCCTTAAGTTGCTTTTAGAGTCCGTGACCTCTAGTCTTTCCACAAGGCCAGCTTCTGAGTGCCTCTCTTCTTAGCTTACAGATGACAATAGTGTAACAGGGACCAGCTTGTTTCTCCTCAGCAGCAGGACTCTTGAGTGCCCTCTCACTGGAGATCCTCAACAGATATTCTTTTCACTTTATAACAAGCCAAAGTTCATCTCCTTATCTCCTGCATCAGGATCTGACCTCTTTTTAGGGAGAATAACAGTAGTATAATTCACTTCCTTCAGAGAATATTCTACTTTTGCCATATGGTTGTGGTTTTACCCCATCCCAAACCATCTTAATGATATGATAATACTATTAGCTGAAAGCAGTACATCTCCCCAAATTTGCATTATTCAGCTTTAAAAAAATAAGCAATGAATAACATTCTTTAGAGAGCAATGAGAAGGGTTTTTTTTTTTTTTTTTTTTTTTTTTTTTCATTTCTTCTGTAGTATTCCACTCCCTTATTCCTGCAAACAATTGCTCAAAGGGCCATACAACTGCTGGAAGAGAAATCTAAACTTACATTATTTCACTCTCAAACAGAAGTTTCAGAGACTTACACCTGAAGCAGATCACACTATTTATAGTACTAAAAGAACATAAGTTCGCACTCTGAAACACCTGAATTTACTCCATATCCTTTAGTCTGGTGTTAAAGCAAACTACACATGTCCCGAGAAGGACTTCATACTTTTATATTTGAATCCTTGTGGATGAACTGTCACCTAGCTTAACAGAAAAGATTGAAAAACTAACTTAAGTGTATTTATCTATAACAATAACTGAGTCTTGGCCAATTCCAGCTTATACACTTCAACCACTCAGTTCAATCACTCATAGACTAAGTGTTCAAAGTGTGTTCAAGTAAGGCAAACGCCAACTTGTAACCAATGCAGCTGTTTCTATACTTCACTGCTGATTTCCGTACCTCATTTCCCATTTTTTGTCTGTAAACCTTCTACCATGTGGCTGTGTTGGAGTCTGTGAATCTGCTCTGAGGCTGCCCAATTCGTCAATTGTTCATTGCTCAATTAACTCCTTTAAATTTAATTCAGCTGAAGTTTTTCTTTTATAACTGGTAAACTGGAGACCAGGTAGGGCCTAAATGCTTTACTTGTAGGCTTAGTCTTCACCTTAGAAGTGACAAGGATTCTCTGCTTAGCCAAACTTTGGGGTCCTGAGCCTTCTCCTAGGCCCATCTGTGCACCTCCTCGTAAAACTCAGTTTTAGCAAAGAACCTTGTTAAGTCAGTGTAGTAAGAACGCCTCATCCTTGATTGGGTTCCTCATCCTCCACCATCTGCCAAGTGATGTCTGATTATCCTGGCTTATCTTCATCTAGAATCCTGTTGTGTTGGTTTAGCAGGAGTCTCCCTTGCTTCTCTTGGCAATTTCCATCCACTGGCGGACCCCCACCCCTTGGCTATATATTCCCACTTGCTCATACTATATTTCTATTTGAACAGGTAAGAGAGAAGGGAAGAGTACGTAGGGCACAAATGCCTTATCTTCCAAAATTCACTTCAGGCATGTTTAGCCTTAATTTCCCAGCTTTTGTCCTTTAAACAGTTACAGATTTGTCTTGTCTCATAAACGCTGTCAGGCTTCCCTGCTCAACTGGAAACTCCTTGCTCACGAACTGACTCACCCCTATTTCTAGGCTCCCAGCAACGAATGAATGGATTTGTGGAAGAAAAGGGTTCTTTTTTTTTTTAAGCTGTTACTACAATGGTCAACAACTACAACGACAAAAACCACTTAAAATTGGACAGATGCCTACCGGCAACCAGCTCTTAAAATTAAGTCTAGAAGGACGCACGACGCCCCGCCCACTGGCGAGAGACGGAAGTACACGCTTTTAAGAGAACCGGAAGTGCGTGGTCACGCCCCGCGCATGCGTGCATCCGTGCGGCTCCCGCTTCCCGTACCCAGTCACCCAGCGTGAAGGCGGGGACTGCGGCCGGACGAGGCCGCCGGGTCCCAGCAGGCCCTGCGCGTCACGCCGCCGCGCATGCGTCCTTGGCAGGTCCGCTCGCAGTGAGGCGGGGCGAAAGGACGTTTTTTATCTTGCTCCCGCCTCTGTTCTTCCCCCACCTGCCACGTACAGACTCGGAGTTCTTGCTAGGCTCGTTGGGTCAGTGCGATTGGCCGGTGCCCGCGCGAGCCTGGGAGCGAGGTGCGGCAGGCGCGGAGGGCCGCCGAGCGGGCCGTGACCACCGCCCCACCGCGACGCCCCAGTCTTTGGAGACCCGCAGAGAGACGGCGGCCGCGGCCTCCGCAAGCCGGTACGACCGCTGGAAACTGGGGGTGCGGCCGCCGTCTCGGAGGAGGCCGGGAGACACGGAGGCGCTGGGAGGCCGTCGCTCGAACCGCCGGGCGGCCGGGGTCGGAGGCGCGCTGGGGAGGGGCCGGAGGGAGGAGGGGGCCGGAGGGAGGACGCGGCCGGAGGGAGGACGGGCCGGAGGGAGGACGGGCCGGAGGGAGGAGGGGGCCGGAGGGAGGACGGGGCCGGAGGGAGGAGGGAGCCGGAGGGAGGACGGGGCCGGAGGGAGGACGCGGCCGGAGGGAGGAGGGGGCCGGAGGGAGGAGGGGGCCGGAGGGAGGAGGGGGTCGGAGGGAGGAGGGGGCCGGAGGGAGGACGGGGCCGGAGGGAGGACGGGGCCGGAGGGAGGACGGGCGGGCCCTCGCGTGGGGGGACGGGCGGGAGGGCGCGGAGGGGGAGGGGAGGAGGCAGCCCCTGGCCGCGCTGGCAGGCGGGCGCACCCCGAGGGCTCCGGCAGGCTCCGGGGTCTCGGGTTGAGAGGAGGGGGGCTTCGGGAGGTCCCCGAAGGAACTCGGAAGGGTGGGAAGGGTGCGGAGTGGGGCCTATGGGAGTGAGTCGATTGGGGTCGCTGAGTCGGAGCACCGTTCCTGGGCTAAGTCGGCGCTTAATGAAGCGCCAGCTGGAGGCCCGGCCTGGTTTTATAGTGGTGATTATACCTAAGTTTAGGAGTTTGCTTGGCTGGACACTACAGTAAGTGTTTTAGATGCACTCTCTCATTCATTCGCCGCAAGGGTCCCTCCACGTTCACATACTGTGATTTCCGTCTCGAATGTGATCCAAGTGAGCCTTCGAGAACTTCAGACCACGTAGCTGCTAGCGGCGGTCTTTACCGTCTTGGTGCACGGCCTCTGAGGCAGGGTTTGAGGCCTCTTAAAACAGTCTTGGGAATCCTTGCAGGTTGACTTGGCTTACTACTGTTCACTGAAGGAAACTGCTCCCCTCAGGAGGTGCCGAAGCCACAGCTTCTGAAATTGAGCAGGGTCTTACCCTTAGACTTAGAGCCAGAAGTGTGGCCACTGAACCTAGATCCTGGTTCAGGAGGCAGGCTTTTTATATGACCTTGGGCATGTCAGATTATTCCCAGTGCTGAGAAGAGTGTTCCCGTTGGAGGGTTACGTTATGCAAGTTAGAGGCCGAGTCGTTTCTGGACTTAATAGCGGGAGGGGCAAGGACAAGATGGGAGAAGAGCTGCTTGTAGGGCTCTTACTGGCAGTTAAGGAACTAATTGTTAATAGCAGTTTCTACTTTGGAAGAGAAAACGAGTACCAGAATTGTGTATATGAAGAAATGTTGGGATGGGATTTCCCCCTGAAGGGAAACTTTGGTTACACACTTCTGTGTTTACTCTGGGGAGGTGACTGCACGAGCTCGCGACAGCTTTAGAAAAGAAGCATTGGTTCCTGGCCACAAGGTGTTTACAATCAATGGGAAACACAAAAAGTAAATTTGCAGGCAAACATGAGAGAAAGTATACATGACTCAAATGTTAAATCCATCGACATTGGGCACCAACCTCCCTACCGCAGTCAGAAGAACATATCATCAGTTATATTCGAAGCTGGAATTTTTTTCTTAATTAGAAGTGTGTCTGATGGAAGTCACTTCTAGCTACATAAAGAAGGTACAGTGTGAAGGTCTGACGCAAAACTGATCTATATTACAGCTTTCTTCTCCCGCTCCGTTTATCAGAACTTTATTATTCCTCATCTTCTGTGCACGGAAGAAAAATTCTTTAAATACTGTAGGCACTTTTCTAGGCGCTGCTGGGAAAAGATAGATAGTACCAGCTCACTGAAGCTAAGCACTGGTTCCTTTTACATTATTGCTGGTTTACACATCTTATAGGAAGGAGAAGGTAACAAATACGTTGATTTATTGAAAGGTCTTGGTTACTCTTAGGCTGCCAGAGCAAACAATGGAATATTTACCATCTTGGTTTAGTAATTATACTTCAGAGCTTGGTACATAGTAGGTATTCAGTAAGTATTTCCTGAACTCAGAAGGCAAAGAGTAGGTTGTATGAAGATTTCTGTTAATCACTGTTTTCATGAGTCCATTGTGAGAACTGACAGATAAAAAGCTAATTATATTCTTATTTTGCATTAAGATAAGCAAGGCATACTTAGAGTGGAATGCAGTCCTCTGTATTCTGCATTGACTTTAGAGTGTTATATTTGGTTTTAATGATCGATTTCTGTAAAGAGTTATTAATATCTATCTGTTCAGAGCATGGTTGGGGTGGGGTCCTAAAGATAATTCATTTAAGGACTAGTTAGATGAAATGACCTAGGGCATTTGTATGAAAAATAGTAGGGAGTAGGGTATTAATGTATAGTATTTATGAAATTGGATTCATGAAAACTTTTTTCAAGTACTTGAAGGGTTGATATGTTGGAGGAGCAGGTGAGTGCTTTCACATACCCCAAAAGAATAAAGAATAATTGCAGAGAAGTGTGGTGTTAATGAAACAACAGTCTTAGGAGGAGGAAACAGAAAGCTGTTATTATGAAGGTGGGAAGTTGAAACTAGAATGTTGTCGAACACTTTAAAAAGTCTCAAGAGATCATTTTCTTGGGGCAGGAGGAGGAAGGAGTTGATGCTTAGAAAATGTTCAGCGATTATAGATGACATTCAGGAACATCTTGGCCTTGAGAAGAAGAAATATTAACCCATTATTTGATCATAAGTATATCCTAGCAACCATTTAACTTGCTAGAGACCTTCAACATTATTTTGAATTTAAAATTCCACAGTCATGGCCTGATTTGGTGGCTAACGCCTATAATCCCAGCACTTCGGGAGGCCGAGATGGGTGGATCACTTGAGGTCAAGAGTTGGAGAGCAGCTTGACCAACATGGTGAAACCCCATCTCTACTAAAAAATACAGAAATTAGCCAGGCATGGTGGCGCATCCCTGTAGTCGCAGCCACTCAGGAGGCTGAGGCATGGGAATCATTTGAACCCAGGAGGCAGAGGTTGCAGCTAGCCGATATTGCACCACTGCACTCCAATCTGGGTGACAGAGTGAGACTGCATCTCAAAAAAATAAAAATAAAAATACACAGTCATTACAGGATAGTCATACTGAATAAAATTAAAGATTAAAATAAAACCTAAGGGAAAATTCTGTAACAAGTTACTATTTAGCGTCTGTTTGATACTGTCTTATTTAATAAAGCATGCAGTCCAAATCATACCCACCCAGGTGGGAAAGTTAGGGAGTATGCAGCACAGTAGTGGATGGTCTTTAAAAGTTCAGGTCGGTATTACTAATTTGTCCTTTCTCCTCCAGTTCCTCCACATAGAGAGGAAATGAAAGAACGTACTCATGAGGTCTTTCTCAGAAAAACTTGAGGCTCTATTTAAGTATTCACTCTTCAGAGTTAGCATTTATTGTTGTAGGATAATAGAGTTTTGAAGCCAGTATTTATTTTTCCCTTTATTTAACAGCTGTTGAATGACTACCAGTCTGCTACGCACTCTTGTAGGCTCTGGGGATGTGGAAAACTTCCTACCATCAAGTGGAAAAGACTATAAAAAGTTATAAATTTTTAATGTCTCGTAGTGTTAAGTGCTTTGAAGAAAAGCAGGATAAGATAATGATGGGGGGAGCCATTTTAAATTGGATGGTTAGGAAAGACCTCTCAAAAGTTAACATTTGATAAGTAATCTGAATCATGTGAGGGCTACCAGAAAGGTTAAAGACAAAGGGAAAACTGGAAGTGTGGGTGTAACAGGGGTGAGTGAAGAAGAGAGGTAGGAAATGAAGTTAAATACTTGGTGAGGGGCCGGAGGCCAGATGGTCTTACAGGTCTTGGTTTTTGAGATGGGAATGCATTGGAAGGTTTTGAACAGAATGATACTAGGTTTTACTTAACAGGATTAGCTCTGGTGTGCTGGGATTAGATTAAAAGTGGGCAAAGGTAAAAAGCAGGTGAGCTGGTTAGGAGTCTTTTCCAGTCATTAGGTAAGTGATAATAGGTGGCTTGAATCAAGTTGATAGCAGTGAAGGTGCTGAAGTGGTTGGACTCCAGAGTTATTTTAAAGGTAGTGGCAACCATATTTTGTTGGTGGTTTGGATGTAAGGTTTGAGAAAAAGATCAACCAAGATTTTTTTTGTCTTACACAACTCACAGGAAGTGAGTGAGATCGGGAAGCCTATAGGAGAGGCATAGGTGGAAGATTAGGAATTTATTTTTATGTAAAGAAAAATCTAAGTGGTAAAGTCAGATAAACAGTTAAACATGTAGCTAAAATAATAGTAGACATAAAATAAAAGCTTATTTTATTATCTCTACAGTAAAATAATGTTGCCTCCAGGCCATTTTAACATAAATATGGTAACATGGGGATAATGAATCTTCTGGAGGCCAGAGTTTCTTAGCATCTAACAGTAACTCTCAACTTTTAAGAAATGTTTTGTTGTTTAATTATCAAAACCACTTTTACCAGTCTTTGTCTAGAGTTCTATATATAGAACATCCTGGAGTCCACCATGAACGGACAGTTGGATCTGAGTGGGAAGCTCATCATCAAAGCTCAACTTGGGGAGGATATTCGGCGAATTCCTATTCATAATGAAGATATTACTTACGATGAGTTGGTGCTAATGATGCAACGAGTGTTCAGAGGAAAACTTCTGAGTAATGATGAAGTAACAATAAAGTATAAAGATGAAGGTAAGAGTGTTTTTAAAGCTATTTTTCAAACTTTGTTTATTTATAAAGAGACAGAGCCTCTCTGTTGCCCAGGCCGGAGTACAGTGGTGTGATCATAGCTCAGTGTCACCTTGAACTCCTGGGCTCAAGCAGTCCTCCTGCTTCAGCCTCCCACAGTGCTGGGATTACAGGAATGAACTACAGTGCCTGACTTTAAAGTCTTAAGTATTGTATGTGTTATTTTGCCCATTTTTATTGGACTTTTTTTTTTTTAATCATTTGAAAATAGCTAAGTGGTTTATTAGAAGGGAATTTTAAGTGTTAGAATATTTTCACATTTATTTTTACAAGCATTGTTTTCTCCTTTTGTCCATATAATTCTGGTTTGTTTTAGCTTAAATTTTTTTTTTTTTCTGTTACTGTTTTCCAAAGTGAAAGAAAGGTTGTAGTATGTATTGAACGAAGAAGGATTTCATGGTCAACTAAGTATGGGGAAGCTGGTTTAAACAAAGACAAAAGTGTTTCTTTATTGTAGGAATTTTCAGAATATGTAATGTGCTTATGTAAGTTTTCAAAAATTTGTAGTGTGCAGTGTTCCCAGACTCATTTGTTGACAAAACTCTTTTTATGGAAATAGATTTTGCATGAAAAATGTTTTAGCAAATACACTGATTAGAATTATAGTACTGGACTATGTTTCCTATTCTTTAACCTGCCTTCTTTGTTAACATCTCTGCTGAAATTTTCTCTTTAGGTGGTTACCAGTGGGGTGTGTGTGTGTGTGTGTGTGTGTATGTGTGTATGTATGTATATATATAAAATACATATATATTAATATACACACATACACACATTTTTTTTGCACTTCAGGTTACGGGGTACATGTGTAGAACATGCAGGATTGTTGTATAGGTGCATACATGGCAATGTGCTTTGCTGCCTCCATTCCCCTGTCACCTGTATCTGGCATTTCTCCCTGTGTTATCCCTTGCCACCCTTCCTACTGCCCTGCTGTCCCTCACCTATTCCCTGCCAGCAGACTCCAGTATGTGATTTTATCCTGAACTGACTTGCAGTGTATTTCATCTTGACCTCAGTATTTGGCATTGCTATCCACACCATCCTTGTTAAATACTTTTACCTCTTAACATCTCTGACACTGCTTAACCTGATTTTATCACTAATAATAATACAATGCATATCATGTCTGTGTTAGTGTTGGCTTAAAGTAATGCCAGCAGATATAATTAGAAATCTTACAATCTGAGTGGTTTAACAGTCGAGAAATCTTTCGGATATCCAGGCTGAAAGAAGCTGTTACCTTAAACACGTTGTTCATAAGCTCACCGTAGGCATTGACGTTGGCAGGCAGATGAGTGAAGATGGAGTACGAAGAATCATATGGGAGATTTTACTCACTGATGGTGTTGTATGTGATTTTTGCCCTTATCACATTGGTCAGTACCCAGTTACATGACTCTAAGAGGCAAATTGGTTGGGAAGTGTGGTCCCTGGCTGAGCAGCCACTTTGCACAACTTATACTGTGGAAGAGAAGAGTGAATCACTGGTGATAGTTAAATTGGCCATCTAGCTATATGTATATTTCTCCTTTCTTTTTATGATGTGTAGTCTAAGCACCCAAAACACATTTTTGAGAGTTGCCCATGTGAAACAATAAAGGAGAACAATTTTTTTCCTGTTTTCTTCTGCTTATAATACATTGACTTTCACCTCTGTGACTTTTAAATGTGTGCCTTAATTTAATCAACCGTTTTTTTTTATTTTTTTTAAAGTCAGGGTCTGACGCTGTTGCCTAGGTTAGAGTGCAGTGGCATGATTATACCTCACTGTAAACTCAAACTCCTATCCCCTAGCAGTACTCACAACCCAGCCTCCCAAAGGCATAAGCCACCATTCCTAGACTACAATTCATATTTTAACTTTTTTTTTTATACAAAGTCCTAAGAGTGCTTTTTTTGTTGTTGTTGTTAAATTTTGTTTTACTTGACAAATAATAGTGGTGGTACATATTTATGGGGTACACAGTAATGTTTCAATACATATAATGGGATTAGATCAGGGTAATCAGTATATCCATGGTCTCAAATATTTATGTCTTTGAATTAGAAACAATCTGTGTTCTCCTTCTAGCTATTTGAAATTATATGTTATTGTTAACTGTAGTCATCCTATAGTTCTATAGAACACTGGAACTTACTCCTTCTATCTAGTTGTAATTTTGTGTCTTTTAATAAATCTCTCCCTAGCTCTGTTTTTCCCTACCCTTCACAGCCTCTACTGTCCTCTGTTCTGCTTTTTACTTGTATGAGATCAACTTTTTTTTAGCTTCCGCAAATGAGAGAGGGAGAGCATGTGGTATCTTTTTAACTAAATGTCTTCTAGTTCCATCCATGTTGCTGTGAATGACAGGACTTCATTCTTTTTAATGGCTGAATTGTATTCCATTGTGTATATATACCATATTTTCTTTCTCATTTCATCTGTTGTTAGACACTTAGGTTGATTCCGTATCTTGGCTATTATGAATAATGTGCAGTAAATATGTGAGTGCAGATGTCTCTTCAATATAGTGGTTTGCTTTCCTTTAGTTAAATCCCAGTAGTGGCATTGCTGAATCATGTGTTAGTCCTATTTATAGTGTTTTGAGGAACCTTCATGCTGTTCTCCGTAGTGGCTGTACTGTTTACGTGCCTACCAACAGTGTATAAGAGTTCCCTTTTCTCTGCATTCTTGCCAACATTTGTTATTTGTCTTTTTGATAATAACCATCCTAACTGGGGTGAACTTCATTGTGGTCTTCATTTTCCTGATAGGTGTGCATTTCCCTGATGATTTGTGATGTTGAGCATTTTCTCATGTATTTATTGGCCATTTCTGTGTCGTCTTTTGAGAAATGTCTGTTCAGATTATGTGCTGATTTTTAAATTGGATGATTTGTTTTCTAGCTGTTCAGATGTTTGAGTTCCTTGTATATTCTGAATATTAACCCTCTGCCAGATGAGTAGTTGTATTTCCTCCCGTTCTGTAAGTTCTCTTTTCACTCCGTTGATTGTTTCCTTTGGTATGCAGAAAAATTTTCCAGTTTGATATAATCACATTTGTTTATTTTTGCTTATCTTATATTGACTATGCTTTTGAAGTCTTGTTCATGAAATCTTTTCCTGACCTATTAAAGAGGTTATCTTTTTCCTAACGACTGTTCTCGGTGCTTTTGTCAAAAGTCAGTTGGCCATAGATAACGTGGATTAATTTCCAGGTTCTCTATTGTGTTTTATTGTTCTATGTGTTCTGTTGATCTGTTTGTTCTCTTGGTCAGTGGGTCTGTTTTTATGCCAGTTCTATTGGTCTATGGGTCTGTTTTTATGCCAGTCCGTGCTTACTGTAGTTTCGTAGTGTGTTTTGAGGTCAGGAAATGTGATACCTTCAGCTTTGTTCTTTGCTCAGTATTGCTTTGACTGTCTGGGGTTGTTTGTAGTTCTATACAAGTGTTAGGATTTGTTTTCAAATTTCTGTGAAGAATTTTACTGGTATTTTGTTAGGGATTGCATTGGATCTGTAAATTGCTTTGAGTAGTTTTGTCATTTTAACAGTATTAGTTCTTCTAATCTATAAGCATGGGATATCATAACATATGTATGCTCTTCAGTTTCTTTCACCAGGATTTTTTTTTTTTTGTAGAGATTTTTTACCTTCTTGGTTATAATTATTCGTAGATATTAAAAAAATTTTTTTGTAGCTGCAGTAGATGGGATCGCATTTTGTTGTATGTGTCTAGAAACACTACTTTTTTTGTTTTTATTTTGTATCCTGCTGCTATTGAATTTGTTTACTGGTTCTAAGGGTTTTGGTAGAGTTGTTAGATTTTTGTGTATATGATTGTGTCATCTGCAGAGACAGTTTGACTTCCTCCTTTCCAATTTGGATACCCTTTATTTTTTTCTTTTGCATAATTGCTCTGGCTAGTACTTCCTTGTCTTTAAAAATTTTTTTTTTACTTGATAACAGAGTCATGCTCTGTCTCCCAGCCCAGAGTGGAATGGCATGATCATAGCTCCTGGAAGCCTTGAACTCCTGGGCTTAAGCAGTCCTTGCAACTCAGCCTCCTGTGTAGCTGAGACTACAGGCACACGCCACTGCACTTGGCTGCTTCTTATTGTTTGTCAAAATGGGGTCTCATTGTGTTGCCCAGGCTGGTCTTGAACTCCTGGGCTCAAGTGGTCCTCCTGCCTTGGCCTGCCAAAGTGCCGAGATAACAGGCATGAGCCACTGCGCCTGGCCCTTAACTGCCTTTTTTTCATTTGAAGATGCTTTCCTCTTACCTCAAACTGACCTCATTGATGGGCGTTCTCCTAACTACCTTGTTTTTCTTTAGGGTAGCGGTCAGCAAACTTTTTCTTGAATGGGTCAGAGATAATGAGTATTGTAGCTTTGTGGGTCACATAAGGCCTCTGTCTCATCCTTTTTTTTTCACAACGTAAAAACCATTCTTCATTCACAGACCTATAACGACTAAGGGATTTTGTCCCTTGGTCACAGTTCGTGGACCCTTAGCTGGAGGTGTCCTTGTTGCAATTTGTTTTCCACATTTAGTTACAACTTTGTATTTTGTGGTGTTTTTAAAGGTTTTTTTTTTTTTTTTTTTTTTTGAGACAGTCTTGCTCTGTTGCTTGGGCTGGAGTGTAGTGGCATAATCTTGCTCACTGCAGCCTCCGCCTCCTGGTTCAATCGATTCTCCTGCCTCAGCCTCCCAAGTAGCTGGAATTAATAGGCACATGCCACCACACCTGGGTAATTTTTGCGATTTTAGTAAGACAGGGTTTCTTCATGTTGACCAGGCTGGTCTTGAACTCCTGACCTCAGGTGATCCGCCTGCCTCACCCTCCCAACGTGCTGGAATTACAGGTGTGAACCACTGCCCCCGGCCAAATAGTTTTTGATTGTTTAGATTTGTATCCCTTAGATTCTGTTAGACACTATGGTGGAGGGATGGCTTAGGTCAAGTTCCCACCATCAGAGATAGTCTGTTTCTGTTGTAGGATTCAGAAAAGAAAAAAAGTTATAGGAAGTTTTCTTCTTTTACATACATACTTTATTTTCTTTTAAAAATGTATTCATGAAGGTTGAACATTAAACAGGTATGTCACGGAAAGTAGGTCTGGCTATAAGGAGCTAAAACAGTTACAAAATTCTCAATTTTGTCGTCTTGGTCCAAAATAAATCTGCCTAATTAGTGTTAAAATGGTGCAGCAGAGCATCCCCGAAGTGGTCTTGCGGCCTTCCCGGGACAGAACTCCTTCCCAGCCAGTCGTTTGTGAAGATACCCTGGAGAGTCCCCTGAGGAACTCCTGTCTCTGGCTGCTTTTCCCTTCTTGCCTTCTTTAGAGAACATGTTTTTCCTTTAGCCCCTTGAAAGCTTTTGACACATGTGATTGGTTTGCTAATTACAGTATTCTTTATCCCTGAGATCTGAGGGATTTCATAGTCTTAAATATGCACCGTTTTGTATTTATAAATATTTTTCTGGGGAGAGTTGTTTTCATCTTAATATCAAAATGGTCAGTGACCTGAAAGAACTTACTGTCTATCCAGTCACTAAAGCAGTTCTGCAACAGTAGTGTTTTACTGTATCTAGGATTAAGATGTGAACTTTCGGAATCTTTTTTTATTTCTTTAACTTTTGGTAAAATATTTAAATTTTTTGGAATGAAAAGATTTCAGTCTAAACCAACAATTTATGATACTGCTATCTATGGATCTCTTCCTAGTGACTAATAAAAATTAAAGCACTTAATGCATTAACTTTAGCTACATTTTTTCATGTGGATATGTGTAAATACCTTGCCGTAAGAGTAATAAGCAAAATTGATTTAGTGTGTTTTTGAACAAATGCATTTTCGCTAGACGAACCTTTAAAGTTTAAGGTTTTCGTGGGAGAGTCCAACTATGTTCTACAGTCTACACTTTGGATTTTTAATTTTGTATGTGTCCTAGTTTACTGCTTATACAAATCTGAAACTTTTTTTTTTTTTAATTCCAGATGGAGATCTTATAACAATTTTTGATAGTTCTGACCTTTCCTTTGCAATTCAGTGTAGTAGGATACTGAAACTGACATTATTTGGTGAGTAAACTTTCTAATAAATTTGCTATTCATTGTATTTTTATTAAAGATGTTTGGCGTTTTTTCCTTTTAAAGACTCATTTAAGCAATAACTTATTCAAATATTATTACATTTATTTGCATTCAGGTAGTTGTTTTAGATTACTTGACGCTTATGACTGTATGTTTTAAGAAAATGATGGAAGTTTAATTCAGTAAGAACAGAGTGTGTTAAATACTTTTTTTTTTTTTGAAATCAGATATAACTTAGGTATCCCTGTTATAGTATTATAGTTTTAATTTGGCTGTATTAGAATTTTTGAATTGTAATTATCTTCCTTCACATTACAGTATGTTGTTACTTATTCTCAGGGCTTACCATGTAAGTCTGATATATTAGACCAGTAGTCCCCAGTCTTTTTGCGCCAGAAACTGATTTCACGGAAGACAGTTCTTCTATGGATGGGGGCGGGAGAAGGTTTTGGGATTTAACTGTTCCACCTCGCATGTGCAGTTCACAATAGAGTTCACACTCCTATGTGAATTTAATGCCACTGCTGAACTGACAGGAGGCAGAGCCCACCACTTACCTCCTACTGTGTGACCTGGTCAGGTTCCTAACGGGCCACAGACCAGCACGGGGTTGGGGACCCTTGCTTTAGATAGTATTTAGCCAACCTTAACGTGAAAACCAGCCAAGGCAAATGCAGACCAGTGTCAGTTATGAACAACCTTAACGTGAAAACCAGCCAAGGCAAATGCAGACCAGTGTCACTTATGAATAACCTTAATGTGAAAACCAGCCAAGGAAAATGCAGACCAGTGTCAGTTATGAACATTGATACAAAATACTATGTAATATTTATAAATCAAACTTGGCAGTGAATATTAAAACACACCATTGTCAAGGTTGCTCACCCAAGGAGTCTTAAGATTGCTTTAAATTAGAAAATCAAATACTCTTTTCCATATAACAGATTAAAGGAGAAAAACTGAATCATCTCTATAGATAAAAACCATGGACATTTTAATTACATCAAAAAGTCAGCAGACTACGAATGAAAGGGAATTCTTTTACCTTATATGGGGGCTTTTATTACATAGAATAACTTCTGTATGTCTAATATAAAAGGATTATAAATGTAACTAAAATACCAATTATAATTACATACAACAAAAGATAGTGGGATAAATCAAACATGGCAAGATTGTTTTGGATGAAACATAAAACTATTTAAAATCAAGTAGGGGAATGGGTTTTGAGGAAAGGTACTCTAGGAGATTTAATTATGTCAATGTTGTTTCATTCCTTGGTGGTTAGGAGCAAAGATGAAAAAAAAATTAAGGTTTGGCTGAGTGTGGTGGCTCATGCCTGTAATCTCAGCACTTTGGGAGGCTGAGGTTGACAGATCATGAGGTCAGGAGTTCGAGACCAGCTTGGCCAACATGGTGAAACCCTGTCTATACCAAAAATACACACACACACACACACACACACACACACACACACACACACAGGTAATTAGCTGGGCATAGTGGCGTGGGCCTGTAATCTCAGCTAATCGGGAGGGTGAGGCAGGAGAATCGATGAACCTAGGAGGTAGAGGTTTCAGTGAGCTGAGATTAGGCCACTGCACTCCAGCCTGGGTGACAGAGCAAGACTCTGTCTCGGGGCAGGTCGTGGGGGGAAATCTTAAGGTTTAACAAAGATGGGTGTTTAGTAAGTTTATCTTGTATACTTGAAATGATTTGTTAAAGTTTTAAAATTATATTCGCACTAATGAAGATACATTATGTGTATTAGGGTTCTCCAGAGGAATGGAGCCACTAAGATATATGGGAGTTTTTTAGGGAGAATTGCAAGGTGATTACAAGGCAAAGTCCTGTGGTAGGTCATTTGTAAGCTGGGGAAAGAGAGAAGCTGAGGCTGATAGTGGCGAAGTCCAAGTCCAAAAGCTGAAAACCAGGGAAGCTGACAGTACAGCCTTAGTCTGTTGCCCAAGGCCTGAGAGTCCCCTGGAAAGCTGCAGATACAAGTCCTAGAGTCCAAAGGCCAAAAAACCTGGAGTCTCTTGTCCTGGAGTCTGATGTCCAAGGCCAGGAGGAGTGGAAGCAAGCGTCTGGCAGAGGAAGAAGAAAGAGCCAAAGATGCAGCAAGCAGACTTACCCCATCTTCTTCCGTCTGTTTATCAGAGTTGTACTGGTAGCTGATTGGATGGTGCCCGCAACACTGAAGATGGGTCTTCCTCTCCTGATTCACTGACTCAAATCTCAGTATCTCTGGCAACACTCTTACAGATACAACCCCAAACTGTACTTCACCAGTCATCTAGGCATTCCTCAATCTAATCAAGTTGATACCTAATATTAACTTAATTTAAACTTAATCTAAACTTTTAATTGAGTATAATTTGAAACATAGTGTTCTTAAACCCACTAAGTAGATAATAACAGATTATAGGCCATACTAGGAATGTAAGTGCAAGGTTCTTAAAAGTTCTGGTGAGATGTACCAGTGTGCTCCAAAGATCACCAGGAACATACCCCTAGTTAACAGATTTGGGTTTTCTGAGTTACTGCAGCAACAGAGAATGGATACCATGGAGAACAATAGGATGTCTTATGGGTATGTTAGAAAAGGATTTTTTTTGTAGGGCTTGGGTTTGTGTTAGCTGATTTTGGGTAAGGTTCGAGGAGGTAGAGCTTTGCTCTGCATTGAATGCTCAGGAAGTGGAGATGATTCTGTGATAGGGTATCTTACCAAATCTTACCTAGAAGGTGAGAGGAATGAATCTTCCTAAATCTTACCTGGAAGGTGGGAGGAATGAATTGAGGCTGAAGCTGCAGTTGGTAAAGCAGTAGCAGTCATTGGCCAGGATAGAAGGTGGTTGGGTCATTTTTCTGATGTGGTCAGTGTTCTTGTTTTTGTCTGAGTTTTGACATGATTACGGACTCTTGATCTATCACAGATTATAATTTTTTGTAATGTTGGTCTTCTTTGAAACATTTTACGTTCAACAGGAGAACATCACAGCCTACCTGTGAGCGCCAGGCCTTACTGTACCAGACCAGTTTCTGGCTGTTAGGAGCTGTTTTTCTCCTCAAATATTGGAGGAAAAAACAGCGATACCAAGTGAAAAACCAAAAACTAATTGATGTAGGTAGGAAATTGTATTGACTTCATAGCTATCCAGGGAGTGTGAATTACTGAAGAGTTTTCTTCTAAAAGATTATAATTGGTGATTTGATGTTTGAAACATACTTAACAAAGAATGGCCCTGAACTTTTATCTTCACATAGATGTCCTTTTCTAATTAGGTACTTCAGGAGTTTGTACATATGTATACTGGCAATGCATAAAGCATTTTAGTTTATTTTTTGAACTCCTGTCTTGATGTTTGCTATCAGAGCCTTGTGTCACTTTTTTATTTTTTTCTTTTTCAAAATAACCTGAGTGGTGGCAATGTTTGTTGCTGAATGAAGGATTTCATTTTTTTTTTCCAGTCAAATAAAAGTCACTTGGACAAAATGAACAATAATTGAAGTAATGTTGCTTTCATTAAAACAATCACAACCATGATTACTGAGTAATCGCTGGCATTTTGTGGCTTATATTCTGCCTCTGAAAGTAGCTGCTTTGAAGGACAGTTGTGATGTTGATAAGTTCTGCATATATTTTAAAATGTATATTTATTTAAAAAAATTTTTTGAGACAAAGTCTTACTCTGTTACCTAGGCTGGAGTGCAGGCTGGCATGCAGCGGGGTGATCTCAGCCAACTGGACTTTCCCTCCCGGGATCCAGCAATCCTCCCACCTCAGCCTCCTGAGTAGCTAGGACTACAGGCGTGTGCTGCCACACTTGGCTAATTTTTTAAGGATTTTGTAGAGACTAAGTCTCACTGTGTTTGCTCGGGCTGGTCTTGAATTCCTGGGCTCAAGCAGTCCTCCCACCTTGGCCTCCCAAAGTGCTGGGATTACAGGTGTGAGCCACTATGGCTGGCCCTGCATATATTTTTTTAGCAATTTCTTTTAAGATCAACTATTTTAATTAGCTGTTTTTTTTTTTTTTCCCCAAGACGAAATTATGCAAAGGGGATGACAGACATATCAGTAATGTTACATCTTTAAACATTTTATGTATAGAGTAAGGTATTTTTGTATTTTAAGAATAGCATGAAATGAGGTTTTGAACTTATATGAATTTTATTAAATTTAATAATTTCTACTAAACTTAGTATATTCTATTAATAGCATGAAATGAGCTTTTAAAGTTAAATGATTGGTATTAAATTTAATAAGTTCTGTTAAAAAGTAAAGCTTTCTGTTGGATTATTTATTTTATTATAGTTGGATTTTCCTACTAAACCTTTTTACCAGTAATGCCATAGGTCATAGGTCTGGCATCAAGAAAGACTGATGAAGGCTTCTTTTTTCCAAAATAGGTTATTAGCCATAAAGAATTTCTTTTTTTTTTTAAAGTCACTTCAGTATCTTCTTTTTGTTTTTTTAAAGGAATTGTATATATTTTCTTTGTTGCATATTATTTATATACTTATTCATGAACTTCTCATTTTAAGCAAATAAATGCTTTTATTTCAGTTAATGGCCAACCAAGACCCCTTGAATCAAGTCAGGTGAAATACCTCCGTCGAGAACTGATAGAACTTCGAAATAAAGTGAATCGTTTATTGGATAGCTTGGAACCACCGGGAGAACCAGGGCCTTCCACCAGTATTCCTGAAAATGGTAAACTCAGAATCCATTATATTCTCATTTATTGTTCTTACATTTTTTTTGCAGGTTTTTAAAACCTGTTTTTAAGTAGGGAAGGATGGCACCCCAATGTCTCTCTCTCTCTTGTTCCTTCCCTTGCTTCTCGACTAGCGTTCATGCCTGTGTTCCTAATTCTTGCTGTTCATCGCGATCACTGGAGGTTTCATTAGACCAATTCCTGGATCGCATCATAGACTTACTGGAGTGTAGGGCCTGGAAATTCCATTTTTGAAGTGTTTTCTGGGTGATTCTTTTACAACTAGTCTCGGACTTTGAGGTTTATTACACAGGTCGGTTTTCAAATCCTTTTGACTCATGAACCCTTTTTAATATAATAGATAATGAACCTTAGGAATTGAAAATCATTTCATGAGTTTTATGTAATATTGGAAGTAGTTTCAACTAAAAAACACTTAGATTAGTATTGTACATTAAAAATGATATGTTGTAAAGTTGAAACATAATTTTTTTTTTTTTTTTTTGAGACGGAGTTTCGCTCTTGTTACCCAGGCTGGAGTGCAATGGCGCGATCTCGGCTCACCGCAACCTCCGCCTCCTGGGTTCAGGCAATTCTCCTGCCTCAGCCTCCTGAGGAGCTGGGATTACAGGCACGCGCCACCACGCCCAGCTAATGTTTTGTATTTTTAGTAGAGACGGGGTTTCACCATGTTGACCAGGATGGTCTCAGTCTCTTGACCTCGTGATCCACCCACCTCGGCCTCCCAAAGTGCTGGGATTACAGGCGTGAGCCACCGCGCCTGGTGAAACATAATTTTTAATAATAATATTTAAAGAACTGATTTTTCCCCCATTTTACAGATGACATGTGCTATTTGTGTTAAGATAAAGCAAGATGTGTCAACATTTGGAATGGACATAATTTTGCACCAAGTGTGTTTTAAAATGTGGACTGAAATTTTAGTATGTGTTATGGCTTGAAAGTAGAGTTAAAAAACTGCTTTCTTTTTTTGTTTAAGACTCTTAAATGTTGCATTTAAAGAAAACTTTTTTACAAATTCTTTGCTTATAATTTTCATATGTTTAAAACTGTTCATATTGTGAAATAGTAATGTAAAAAATCTCTGGATTGCTGCATATAAAGGACTTAACACGAGATAATTTTTGTGGAAATGGCATGTATTCTATTTTTGGCCACTAAATAATTTTGGAGTTTTTGTTTTCTGTCTTTATTTTAGTTACAGTCTAAATAAAGATGTATTTTTTCATCATTTCTCTCTTCCTAACTTCTAATAGTCATGTGGAATTATGTTAATGGTAGATGCTTAATAAGTATTTGGTGATTGATTAGTGATTTCTAGTTCCACTTCTATTTCAGAACATAATGGAGATTTGCTGAAATACTATAATGAGATTCTCTTGGTCACGTTATGATGAAACCTTTTATATTTCAGGTCAAAGAAGGTTTCCTATTCTGAACCCTACCTCTCCAAACAAAAAGTTCCAATTTTAGATCAAGAATTGATGAAGAATTTAGACCGTTTTTTCAGAAGAATTCGTAGATGCTGACACATTTGCATATAATATCAGGGGATTTAACCGTCTGCAGAATATTAAGAAATGTAGATGAGAATTTAACCAATATAGCCAGTACTGTGCAGAAATTAGTTACAGTAGCCCACATTCTACTCAGAGGAATAGATTTATGAGTTTTTTGATTTAGGTGAAACTTTTTCTTCACCTATTCTTGCTTCTATATGTACTTTTTCTTTATTCTTTGTTTCTATATTTATGTATATGTTATTGTTAGCTTTTTACCTGTGTTAATGTAAAAGATGTTAAAAATGGTTTCTTTTCTGCATCTTGGAAATTATGCCACATGCTGTTTCTTTGTCTGGCCACCTTATAGTCATTGTGTCCTGTCTCATGTATTTGATGATAAGATGATATAAGAATAATGCAATCCACGTTTTTTTTTAGAGATCTGATTTCTTATTTTTTTTTTTTTCTCATGCACTTAGTAAGATAGCTTACCTCTTGGCCACCTGGCTTCTGTGAAAGTCCTTAAGCTTCTAAGCTCTTAAAACATATTCCAATTTAATAATCTGCTTGTGAAGAAAAAGAACACACATAAAATAAACCAGCCCCCGCTGCACCCCACATTAGAAACTGAAATCTAGTCCACAAAACGAAATTACCAATCAGCTATCAGTGCTTTTTTAGAACCTGCGGCTTATCCTCAGCAAGAAACATGACCACCTGTGGTTTTCGTCTCTCATTACAGTGGTTCTTGGATGCTTGTTTTCCTCTATGAGGCACATGATGTGTAAACTACCTTAGATACAAGATTGACCTGTTGCAGTATCTCCAACATTTAATGGAGCAAGTAGTAGGACATATTGTGTGTTTCCTGATGGTTTAGTTTGCGATAAGTAAAAGCAGGCATAGGTAGTGAGATGGAAGGGAAACAGTCTGTAAGACTGGAATGGTATGCTCTTGGGATCAGAGGAAGGAAATTGGTAGGGAAGATAGATAACTGGTAGACACATTTTAAAGGTGTACTTCTAGGAGTTTTTCCAAAAATTTAGAAAATATATGGGTATCCTGTAATGGTATGTTAGGAATGAATGAGAGCTGGCAGCCAGTGTGTGCTGTGGATACTTAATATTCCATTTAGCACTTAAATTTTTTTCAGAAGGTAAATTTTGTATTGATTACAGGGGTGAGATAAGAACTGATGTTCAGTTACTTATTGGTAACAAAATTGGTAATCATTGTATCTTAATTGACTAAATGGTTAGCAACCGTCTTTTTGTTTACTTGTTCGTGTTGTGTTTTGTTTTGTTTTTGATGTCTTTTGTATCTTGGACTTGGATTCCTATTTGTAAAATGTAGGTTATTGTTGAACTCCCTTTCTTTCACAAGAGATTTGTATAAATGCCTGTGGAATATCTTAGTATCCTTAAAAAAGCATGATTTTAAAGTTCACCTGCTCATAATATTTAACATTTTTTTTTCTGTTGTTGTTTTAAACATTTTGTTATGGGAAAGTTGAAGTATATGCAAAAGTAGACATTATAGTGAATCCCATAAAGCCACATCCAATTTCAACAATTTCCAGCTCATAGTATCATATTATCTATACTACACACACTTCCATCCCTTCTTTTTTTTTTTTTTTTTTTTGGTGAGACAGTCTTGTTCTATTGCCCGGACAGACAGGAGTGCAGTGGTGAGATCTTAGTTCACTACAACCTTCGTCTCCCTGGTTCAAGTGATTCTCGTGCCTCAGCCTCCTGAGTAGCTGGGATTATAGGCATGCATCACCATGCCTGGCTAATTATTGTATTTTCAATAGAGATGGGGTTTTGCCAGGCTGGTCTCGAACTCCCGGCCTCAAGTCTTCCACCCACCTTGGCCTCCCAAAGTGCTGGGATTACAAGCATGAGCTATTAGACCTGGCTCTCTTCCTATATTATTTTGATGTAGATCCCATATACATCATTTCATCTGTAAGCATTTTAACAAGTATTTTAATATTTTAAGATAGCAAATTCAAAAAATGTTTTTAATGTGGTATTTTTGGAAGTTTATGAATTAATTATGGTTGGCTTGATTTCCATGTAATTTAATAGTGGACCTGTAGACAGTAGAAGTAAAATGTAAAATTTGAGATTATAACCTTAGTTAAGTTTCTTATCTTTTTATAAAATGAAGCCTTAGTTTCTATAACTCTTATTTCCAGAGTGCCCAGTGGGTATCTGATACTAGGATATAGGTCATAGGGCTCCAAAAAAAAAGTTAATCAAGGAGCTTGTGTTTTTTTTCGTCTAATATTTTTTACAAAAGGAGGTAGATAATTTTTTTGGAAAAGCTGATGTTCATCTTTTGTTTCTTTTTGCCGTTTCCTCCTGATTTTAAAAGTAAAAATATTAAAAAGTATGAAGAGGAAAGTAAAATGATCTATAATCCTCCAGACTATCATTATACACATACATTATTTCCCTATTTTGTACTTTTAGGTCTTATTGAGTATAGATAAAAAGGAAACAAGTTTTTGTTTATTCCTCTATTCTTATAGATACTGTGGATGGTAGGGAAGAAAAGCCTGCTTCTGATTCTTCTGGAAAACAGTCTACTCAGGTTATGGCAGCAAGTATGTCAGCTTTTGATCCTTTAAAAAACCAAGATGAAATCAATAAAAATGTTATGTCAGCGTTTGGCTTAACAGATGATCAGGTTTCAGGTAAGTTAGTTTCTACCTCTTTTACATCCTTCATTTTCTTAATCTTTTCTTCCTTTCCTTTCCTTCTTTCTTAGTTGAAGAATAACTTGGATATGGTGAAGTGCACAAATCTTAAGGGTCCTGGTCAACAGATTTTTACATATGTGTACACTTACATAAATCACTAACTAGATTTAAGTGTAGCTGATTTCCAGCACGACAGAAAGCTTTCTTATGTCCTCTCCCCATCAGTAGCACCCTCCCCCTTAAAGAATAACCACTGTTTGGTTCAAGTACATTTTTGAAAGTAAAATTTAGAAAGTTTGAAAAAATATGAAATATTTTATAATTTGGTTCATTGCAGTATTCAAATTATATTTGACTTAGGGAAATTCAAAATGTAGATTTTCTGGTTAAATTGTGTTAGTATAGACTTTTTTATATAAATAAGTTTTTAACTTCAAAACAGTACGAATATTGTTTTACTCTTTTAAAGTTTTGTCATTTCACTATTTTTTCCTGCTTTTTCTGTTTTTGGATTCTAATACATACATTGGTGAGTTTGATACCGTCTCGTGGGTTTTTAAGGTCCATTCTTCTTCAGGCTTGTCTCTGTTCTTCAGGTTGGGTGATTTCTGTTGAACTCTCTTCAAAGTCGCTGTGATTTCTGATATGCTGCTGAACCTTTCTGGTGAATTTAAGTGTGCTTTCAGCTCTAGAATTTCTATTGAGTTGTTTTCATAGTTTCTGTTTTTCTGTTGAGATAACTTTATTTTACATTCATTCAAACTACATTTTCCTTTAATTATTTGAATGTATTTATGTTTGATTTTTTAAAAATATTTAGGATAGCTGCTTTAAAATGTTTGTCTGCAACATCCAGCACTTGTACCCATTTAGTGTCATTTTCTATTGACTGCTTCCTCTGCCGCATGTATTTCCCAGCCCCAGCAGGGTCACATTTTCCTGTTTCTTTGCCTGTCTGATAGTGTTTGGTTGAAAACTAGACATTCTGGCTAATATGTTGTAGAGACTTAGGATTCTTTTTGTTACTTTGAGGATTTTCTGATATTGTTGCTCTAGCAGGGACTTGATTTGTGTGGACTTGCCAGCATAAATAACAAACAGAAAAGGGCTCTTTAAAAGAAAGAGACATTTGGGAATAGGGCCTTGCATTGAGAATATGTATGCCATAGTAAACTATGTGCATATTCAGTGAGGTAAAGGCAGACAAAGGTTTTTAAAGGAAAAAATGAGAGTACGTAATTGTTTTGAAATAATTATCGTTGGCTACAAAGATCATTAGCAAGAGTGATGTCAGTTTGAGGTTGGACAGGCGTTTCTGGGCAGATGTCCTCACAGAAGGGTTTTTTTTTTTTTTTTTTAAGTTGGACTTTGTGTAAACTGTGGTTTTTGAACTCTTTTGTGATAGTTTTTGTAAGAACCCTCTCTTCATGGCCTTATCAGAGTTTTTGTTTTTTAATATTAATGACTTCATTTTGCTTTTGACAACTTGCACATACTCAAAACTAGTACTCCTTTATCCCAATGGTGTATAGCAGCTGATAGTCTGCTCAGTCCTTTCAGCTCGCTCTAGGTGCTGCTTTTTCTCTGAGCCTTGTTGAGATACCCTCCTCCACTCTCCCAGCCCTGTGGTCAGCTGGGGGTTTGGGCAGAGTATATATACCTAGATTTTGGGTCTTAGCCTTTCATTGGCACCCTCACTCCAGGGATTTTCCTCCTAAATCTTCAGCTCCTTGTCCAGCCATGAGGCTGTTAACACTGTGGTTTTCTGCTCTTGGAGCTGCAGAGGTCCAGGCTTTTAATTCTTATCCATTCTAATTTTATTGGGGTAAACCCTGGTTTCTGATGGACTTTCAGTTATTTCAAATAGTTTCTTCTGTTTTGTTCAGGTTTTTAGTTGTTACCTGGGGGAGAGTTTATCTGACGGATTTACTTTGCCCTTATAAGTAGTTGGAAATACAGTATTCAGTCTATTCATTTTGTATTTCTTAGAGACTTTCGTGGAATTACTTACTAAAGGTGTGTGAAAATCTGATGAGGTCAGACTTTTAAATTTTGATTTAATCGAATATTCCACACTAGAATAATATTAATATGATTCACATTATTTGAAAACCGTTTCTCTCATAGCTATGTTGAATTGTAGTAGGAAAAACAGTATGTATAGCTAGGATACTTGTGTAGTTCTTCAGGTGTGATGTGGTAAAATGTGGCTCATTATAATAGGGAATGTGGCAGTGGGAAGGAGGGAAGGAGTATTACAAAGATGGAATGAACATTTAACTAATAAATTACATGTACAGGAGGAAAGAGGAGTCAAACATACATATATAGAGAGTCTAATAATGTATCTTTTGTGGGAAGAATGTGTATATTTATATACATATATATAACTTAATGTAGGAAGAATGTGTGTATGTATTTGTCAACATATATATAAATTTAAGTAAAGTGGTGGTAGATAGAAACCATCATCCATTTTATTCTGGTAATAAATCTCTCTTGCATTACCACTATTATATCCTAGTTTAGGTTCTTATTAATACTTAGATTGTCAGCTGTCAACTGTATGCCTAATACTGTGGTAAGTTCTGGGGATATACCAGAGCAGAAGATAGAGGTTTGCCCTTAGGAAAATTAGTTTGCTGATAATAGCAAGTATTTACATGGAACTTTCTGAGTAATGGTCACTTTTATAAGCTTTTGCTGTATAATCCCTTTTTAAAGTCCTTGCTATAAGCTCTTGTTAACTCATAAGCCTCACAATAACCTTATGAAGTAGGAATTAGTACATCCTTTGTACAGATGAGGAAACTCAGGCACAGAGATTATGTAACATGTCCAGAGTTACACAGCTTGTGAGTGACAGCACTAGGATTTGAAACTTCTGTGTATAACCAGTCTTCTGCATTGCCAAAGCAAAAAGAATTTAAAGGAATAAAACATATCTGCATTGTCCTCCGAATATCTTTTTTGACTGTCACAGCATCGGAACTGTAATATATTCTCTCCATTCATTTCTGTGTTTATTGTTTTGGAAGAATTATAAATTTGTGTAAATCCATGTGTTAATTTGAGGGTTAGGCCTTGTGAGGCAGACAAAAAGAATCAAGAGTTAGGAGCCCAGCCAAAAGAGCTCAAGAGTCTTAAGAGGGAAAATGCGGGCTGTTCAGAAATGCAAGGTAGAAGTCAGTATGGGTTAATAAAAGTAAACTAGATTGAAGTTCACTACTGGAAAAAAGTATTCATGAGTCAAGAAGGCTTACTACAAGTGTGGAATTATAATTGGATTTTAAATAATGTTATATTTAAATATGTGAATGTTACTTTAAATATTTGCGGGGGTATAGTGGAAAGAACGGTGATAAATGAAATAGAGGTAAAAAATATTAGATATATAATGGGAGTAGGGAGAAGGTTAGGGTTGGTTTAGCCGAAAGGGAGGCGTGTGAGAAGAGAAATTGTGAGAAACAATGTTTGGGCCCTTAATGCAAACTAGGGTGTTGAACTTAATTTATGGGCAGTGGAGACCCCTTGAAAAATGAAGTGGTAATTTTGGTTGATGTGCAGAATACATTGCTTAGAATGGGGGGATGTTGGCATTGCAGACATTGAGTTTTGTTTTTTGCAGGGAGAGGTTAAGACTCAGGAATATAGTACTCCACACTTTATAAGGAAGGATTTCCAGTTGTAGCTTTGGATTAAGAGACTGGAGCAAAGGAAAAAATAAAATAGATACATTTGAAAAAATGTAAAAAGCCTCATTTGTAGTTATATACTTATTCTATACTACTTTTAGTGTCTTCTAACCAAACTTATTCCTTGAACTTGCTGGGAGAAGGCCTCCAACATAAGGCCTACTAAACTGACTTTTTTTTTTTTTTAAACTATCCAGGGCCACCCAGTGCTCCTGCAGAAGATCGTTCAGGAACACCCGACAGCATTGCTTCCTCCTCCTCAGCAGCTCACCCACCAGGAGTTCAGCCACAGCAACCACCATATACAGGAGCTCAGACACAAGCAGGTCAGATTGAAGGTAAAATAGAGTTTAGAACACGTGTGGGAAACTGCATGTGCAGAAGTGTTTATTGCAGCATTGTTATAAACACTTTATGTATTTGGTCATGCCTTGAACACAGCTAGGAAAAGTTTTGATTTACTGACATGATTTGATGTTAAAAAACAATAGAATAATATATCAGGTATGTTTCCATTTATTGGAAAGAAAAAAATTCACAAAGTGTTTATATGAATATAGATACAGAGTGAAATACCAGTCCTTAGTCAGTGGTGACCCATGGGGAGGATAATGAAATTCAGACTGGTGATTTCACACTTTAGTTTGTGTTAAACTTAGGTGCTGTTTTATCTCCCTCTTCTCTTCAGCATCTATGCATGCTTTTTCTTTTTCTTTCTTTTTTTTTTTTTTTTTTTTTTTGAGACTGAGTTTCGCTCTTGTTACCCAGGCTGGAGTGCAATGGTACGATCTCGGCTCACCGCAACCTCCGCCTCCTGGGTTCAGGCAATTCTCCTGCCTCAGCCTCCTGAGTAGCTGGGATTACAGGCACGTGCCACCATGCCCAGCTAATTTTTTGTATTTTTAGTAGAGACGGGGTTTCACCATGTTGACCAGGATGGTCTCGATCTCTTGACCTCGTGATCTACCCGCCTCGGCCTCCCAAAGTGCTGGGATTACAGGCTTGAGCCACCGCGCCCTGCCTGCTTTTTCTAATTTAAAAAGATTTCTAAAATAGAGGTAAAGGATAACTAGTTAGAGTGGGTTTTTTTGGTAAGATTATAGACTTTATAATTTTGTAAATATAGCAATATGTATTAATAGAAAAAAAGCAGTGTATTTTAAGTCAAACCTTTTCTTCTCTTAAGTAGTGTCTTTGGATGTATAATTAGTCTCCCTGGGTTTTGATATTCTTTCACTGTAAAATGTGAAAATTGGACCAACCCAGTGGTTTCAAAAGAATATCTTTTGTCCTGAATGAAATATAACTTGAAAACTCTGTATTTAAAATAGGGGATTGAAGGGCAACAGACTTCAGACAGCAGGCACTAAGGTGCTTCATTGAAACCCTTGGAGTTCTGCAGAATGTGACTAAGTACTTAACTAGTGTCTAGGGTGCCTTCCAGATACTGAAATGTGATTTCCAGGAATGGCCTATGCATGTTAGGACCTTTAAAGCCGTAATTCCACTTCAGAACAAACACCAGGTGGTGCTCTAACCATTTGTTTAATGGGTCAGATAGTTGTATAATGTATTTTCACCACCAGAAGCAAGTGATTAAAGTTATCAATCATACTACAAAAAACAAACAAAACATAGCCTAAAATGAACTGACCACTTTGGAATAGAATCCTATTATCCTGTGGTGATACTTTCAGAGTTGCCTGGACAGGTGTGGTGGCTCACACCTATAATGTGCCTGTAATCCTACAAAGTGCCTATAATCCCAGCACTTTAGGGAGGCTGAGGCAGGAGGATCACTTGACCCAGGAGTTTGAGACTAGGGTAACATAGTGAGACCCTGTCCCTACAAAATAAAAAAATGATTAAAAAAAATTAGCTGGGTGCTGTGGCATGTGCCTATAGTTCCAGCTTCTTGGGAAGCTTAAGTGGGAGGATTGCTTGCCTTGTTGAATGAAGAAGTGGAGGCTGTAGTGAGCTGTGATCACGACAGTGCATTTCAGCCTGGGCAGTAGAATGAGAACCTGTCTCAAAAACAAACAAACCCCCCGCCCCCCCCCCACCACACACAAAAAATCCACAGAGTTGTCTGTTGGGCGAGCAACAGTCATTATGGACTAGCAGATGACATTTTGCTGATGAATCAGTGGTTTTGCGAAGAATTTATTGCTTAAGCCTTTCCAAGTTAAGTTAGTCGTCCTCTGTACCAAAATGCTACTGCCAAAACTAGAACAAACTAGAACTAAGGCAGATGTGGGCTGAAATGGACAGAAGCAGAGATGAGAGTTTAATGCCTATGTCAAGCGAACTGTAGATTTGTTTTTAAATAAATCCCATTTTAAGTGGCGTATACTGTTACAGAATGACAGTTGGAAGGATCCTTCTACCAAATAATCTTTGCTGTTTATATATAAAGAAATGGGAATTAAGGCTCTATTAGCAATATCTAAACATTCTATGAAGCGTTCATTTTAATTGAGCATTTTCAAATCAGTAAAATTGTAAAAATGTGAAAAGATATCTAGTGAAAATTCTCTCCCACCTCTGTCCCCAGCAACCAAGTTCCTTTTTCCAGAGATAGTAGATTTAACACTGTTTATATGCATTTAATTCCTTTAGAGTAGTATTGTATGCCTTGGTACAATTGTTAGCTTAATTGTATGTTTATACAGTATGAAAATTGTACAATTAATAAGTGACATCATTTAAACACTTAACTGATCTAATTCTAGATTAGTGCTATACAAAAGAATTAGAGGCCACATGTAATTTAAAATTTTATATTTAGCTGCATTAGAAAAATGTTTAAGAAAAGGTAAAATTTTATTTAGCCTAATATATCCAGTATAAGTTAATTATTTTGGTACGGCGTATTGGAAATCTGGGATGTGACATTGGTTTGAAACACTTTAAACACAAACAACATGCCACAATACAGATAAGCCACGTTTCAGGTGCTCACTAGCCACATGTGGCTAGTGACTATTTTAAGAGCACAGCTTTAGATAAATGTATTTATTATTTATGGATTCCCAGCATGAATAATAGGCTACTTTAATAAATACATTTTGATGTATAATGAGTCTCTGATGCTGCCAGTTATTTGGATCAGTTTGTTCAGTAATTTGAGCAGAATTACCAACATAAAATGTATTACTTATAATTTATTAACATCGCAATCTCTTATAATGTGTAATAGTCCAAATTAAAATGAAGAATTCTGTGTTGTTACTTAACTCCCATAAAAGGAACCTTGGAACTGTGAATTTTATTCTGAAGAAATGTAGTGTTAATATGTTGTTCAGTTAAAAGAATCAACAAGATACTGAGCAGCATTAAAAAAACCAAAAGGGATAATGTTACCCTTCTTCATATGAAGCCAGTGCCTTTTATTGGAAAACTGTGTGACGTCAAAAACGTAAGTGGTAAGGAGAAGAAGGCTAAAAATCTTCAGAGATCAGTAGATACTGCAGTTTGACAAACTAAAAAAATGAAAAAGCATATAATTAAAATCTGTAAAATCATATGCCAATATAATGAAAAGCTGAGTACACTTTTTATATAAATGTTGAAACAAGACAGAATAATCAGCTCTTCATGTAGTCGTCATGCGGCTTCAACACTTGCCAATATTTCAGCATTCTTCTTTTTATCATTTTCCCCACTGCACCCCTTTTAATTTGCTGGAGTAGTTTAAATGAAATTATGAACAGCTTATACTCAGCTATTTCAGTATGTATGTCTAACTGATAATCTTTTTAATATAACCACCATGCCATTATTTAACAGTGATTCTTTTTTATTTTTAATTGAGACAGGGTCTCACTCTGTTGCCCAGGTTGGAGTGCACTGGTGTGATTATGGCTCACTGCAAACTCAACAGTGATGCTTAATGTCAACATGTACTAGTCTATATTTGAATTTCCTGAATTGTTTCAAGATTACTTTGTTACAATTGATTTGTTCAAATCAGGAGCCTAACAGGGTTCACACTTTGCTTTTCATTAATGTAAGTCTTGAGTCCTTTTTTCTTTTTTTTTTTGAGACAGAGTTTTGATCTTGTTACCCAGGCTGGAGTGCAATGGCGCGATCTCGGCTCACCACAACCTCCGCCTCCTCGGTTCAGGCAGTTCTCCTGCCTCTGCCTCCTGAGTGGCTGGGATTACAGGCACGCGCCACCATGCCCAGCTAATTTTTTGTATTTATTTTAGTAAAGACGGGGTTTCACCATGTTGAGCAGGATGGTCTCGATCTCTTGACCTTGTGATCCACTCACCTCGGCCTCCCAAAGTGCTGGGATTACAGGCGTGAGCCACTGTGCCCGGCGAGTCCTTTTTTCTAATAGCTGTCATCCCTTCCATGTTCCTCAAATGAAAACTATGCATATTATTTATTACTATGAAACTGTTATCCCAAAACATAGATACTTAGACAACAAATGTTTATTATCTCATATAGTTTTGGACAGTCAGATATCCCGGAATGGTTTAGTTGGGTGATTTTGGCTCAGGATCTCTCACTAGGTTGCAATTAAAAATGATTACTGGGGTTATAGTCATCAGAAGCTTAACCAGAACTGGAGCATTCAGTTATTTACCATTTGGACATCGTAAATGCTGTCAATTAAAATGCATTTAAAAATGACTTCCTGGGGTTATAGTCACCTGAAGCTTAACCAGAGCTGGAGCATTCAGTTCTTTACCATTTGGACATCATAAATGCTGTACACGTACAGAAGCCATTGAGGGTCAAAGAGGCTGGCTGTTCTCTGTAATAAATACATTCCATACGTTTTACCATTACCCTTTGCTTCATCCTGTTTCCTTTTCCCCTTAGATAATATTTTTTATAACTTTTTATTCTTTCATTATTTTTGAAAATACACATAAAATATAGCTTATATATAGTTGCGTACTGTATGACAACGTTTTAGTCAGCAGTGGACCGCATATATGATGGTGGTCTCATAAGATTATAATGGAGCTGAAAAATCTCTATTGCCTAGCGATGTGTAGTCATCATAATTGTAGCACAAAGCATTACTTACGTGTCTGGTGATTCTGGTATAAACAGACTTAGTGCCAGTCATGTAAAAGTGTAGCTCACATAATTATGTGTAGTGTCTAGTACTTGATAATAAGTGACTCTGTTACTCGTTTGTGTGTTTACTGTAGTATACTTTTAAATCATTATTTTAGAGGGTTCTCCTACTTTTTTAAAAAAACAAAGCCGTAGAACCAGGCTCAGATAGGTACTTCAGAAGGTATTCCAGAAGAAGGCATTGTTATCATAGGAGATGACAGCTCCATGATGTTCTTGACCCTGAAGATCTTCCAGTGGGACAGGTTATAGAGGTGAAAAACAGTGATTATTGATGATGCTGATGCTGTATAGGCCTCGGCTGATGTGTATGTTTGTGTTACAATTTTTTTCTAAAAGTTTAAAAAGCAAAAGAAAATTTAAAATTTAAAAAACAAAAAACATAGAATAAGGATATAAAGAATAAATATTTTTGTATAGTAGTATAATGTGTTTTAAGCTAAACAGTTAAAGAGTTAAATTTATAAACTAAAAAATTACAGTAAGCTAAAGTTAATTCATTATTGAAGAAATGGAATTTAAAAAAATAAATTTAATGTAGCCTAAGTGTATAGTGTTTGTAAATCTCCAGCAGTGTACAGTAATCTCCTAGGCCTTCACATTTACTCAACACAAGTACCTCACTCTGAGCAACTTCTAATGCTACAAGCTCCAGTCATGGTAAGTGCCCTAGACAGGTGCACCATTTTTTAATCTTTTTTTGCCGTATTTTCACTGTACCTTTTAAATGTTTTCATATGTTTTAGATACACAAATAATTACCATGGTGTTATAGTTGCCTAAGTATTCAGTACAGCAACATGCTGTACATGTTTGTAGTCTGTTGTATCCCTAGTAGCTATATAGTAGGCTATGATATCTAGGTTTGTGTAAGTATACTGTGTGATACTTACACAGTGACACATTTTTCAGAACCTACTGTTGTCATTAAGCAATGCATGACTGTATTTTTTATTACTCAAAATATTGCTTACTATGAACAATCTCTGCACCTTGCTTTCTTCATATATCCTATAGATATCTCAAGTATGTGAAGAAGTTCCTTTTTTTTTTTTTAAAACAATTAGACTTCTTAATTAATTTTCAGAATACTGTGACAGTCCCATTTGGACTTGAATGAGGTGGGTTTAAAGTACGTACCGTAAATCCTCACTTAATATTGTTGAGAGATTCTTAGAAACTGTAACTTTAAGTAAGACGAGGTATGAGGAGGAAGTCAGTTCTATAGGCTAATTGATAAGAGTAAGTTGAGTTCGTACAGCATATTCCTGATCACAAAAATACCCCTGGACTTCTAGATAAAGACTGAAAACAAATGTGAGCTATAGATACATTTAAGAAAGATTAATAAAAACAAGATAATGATACACACAGTTACTCCAGTTCAGGGCTGTGAGTGGCTGAAATCTATCCTGGCAGCTCAGTAGCCAAGTGGGGACCAACCCTGACAGGATGCTATTCCATCACAGGGGCACTTGCAACCACACACATACCCACAGTCACAGACTGAGATCATTTAGACATGCTAATTAACCTAACATACACATCTTTGGGCTGTGGGAGGAAATTGGAGTACCCAGAGTAAGCCCACACGGACTTGGGGAGAATGTGCAAACTCCACACGCAACAGTAACCTAAGCTGGGAATATTTTTTTTTCCTTATCAGTGTTTTAACGAAACAATGTGGAACAAAAGAGGTTATTTGAGGATCTGCTGTAAAAGGAATATTGTGTAGAGGTAGTAAGAAACCTCTGAAATTTTTAACTCTAGTGATATTTTCAAAATAAATTTGTAGAAGTTTGTGAAAACATGCCAAAAAGAACAGCTTTAAGAATAGTTATACCCTATCAGTTTTTATTGAGGGGAATTAACTACATTTTTTACCAAGAGTTTCTTACTCATTGATGACCACAGTCTACCACAGTCTACTACTACATGGAGCCTTAATCTCAGCCTTTTTTGATGATGCCCAAGTTAATATTTATGTTGTTTTGTTCATGGGATAATATATGCAAAACTACTTTGTAAACTAAAGCTTTGGAGTTATGCCTGGGATCCAGTGATGGTTCTTAGCTCTTGATGGTTCTGTTCTTAGCTGTCGACTGCAGGTAAGTTGCTTAATTTTTCTGTATCTGAGCCAGGGAATACTAATTTGGTCGAACTTTTTTTTTAATGTTTGTATTGCCTGTTTGCTTATTTTTTTTAATTAAGGAGTTAAACTTTTTAATTTTGAAGAATTAGAGTTCATTGTTATATGCTATACGTATTTATTCCCCTTGATCGTATTTCTGATAAAGACATAAACCAATAAATCTTTGTTTGAAAATCACATGTATGGGAACAGTTTGTGAGGACAGAAAAATAAAAAGTAAAAGAAAGAAAATAATAGGAAATAAGTGTCCAAAAGGTTTCTTCATAGGAACTGTGGTTATTGACCCCAAATAGGACAGCTAGTACTCCCATGTTCAAGAACACATCCCCAGTGTTAAAAAAAGGCCTGCCATTGTTAAATAGTGCAGAGAAGCACCATTTAGGCTTAATTAGAGTCCACATTATGGGTTAAAGATGTTAGATATTCATAGGAAATCAAACTTGACAAATTCCAAGTGTCATGTAGTTCCTTGCTACAAAAAAGTTCATTCATATGGTAATAGAAGTCCAAACCTTTAGAGGGCAAATACAGTGCTTTAGGAAAGACTTAGATGATATTAATGGTATTTGTCCTTTTTTTCATTTTTACTGGTTGATTTTCAGCTCACTTGGCTTTTAATGAACATTAGCATTACTTATCTGTTGGCAGCTGGGTTTGAAAACATTTGTTTTTCTAGACTCTGTGAAATGGTAACCACTGTTGTTAAACTTAATGTTTGTTGCCAGTTAGTTCTCTGCAGTCAGTCCACAGCAGAGCAATCACACTTCTTAAATGGTTCATTTTCTTCATTGACATTTAAAAGTGAACAAATACTTTCTTGTATATTGTTACACTGTTTAGATGGAGGGAGAATGTGTATGTGCCTTAAAAATATTTCTCTTTGCTACATTAAACATGCCTTTTTTTTTTTCTTTTGTGTGTGTGTGTGTGTATGTGTGTGTGTGTGTGTTTTAGGTCAGATGTACCAACAGTACCAGCAACAGGCCGGTTATGGCGCGCAGCAACCGCAGGCTCCGCCTCAGCAGCCTCAACAGTATGGTATTCAGTATTCAGGTGAGCAGGTGTTGAAAGGGAGTTGGCTCATGGTTTTTTGCTTGTTCCTATACTCATTAAACTTTAAGCTCTTCTTAATTCCTTGATTTGTAGTACATTGACATAATAGGTATTAAGTTTTTATTAGGGGAATTACATTAACGTCTATTGTAAATCAACATTTCAGTTTTCTGGTGGGCAAAGAAAAGTAGATGATTCTGCAGTAACCTGTAGTGTAAAAAGTTTTTAATACAAACTGTCTCTTACTAATATGATACGTTCACCTCTTAGGCGACTTAGTGCAAGGCCCCCTCCCCTCCACTTCCGTGTGACACATAATTCTAGCGCACTCTTAGTACCTGTAGAAATATGAACGTTTATTCATACATGGAAAGGTGATCTTATTTAAATAAGAGCTAAATTAAGCTACTTAGGTTTTAAAATCTCTTGCAAGTATGTGAGAATACCAGAAACAGGCCATAAAATTGTATAAAATGTAATTCAGGCAATTAAGAACCTTAGTTGTTTTAAATAAGCATCCTGGGTATTGTGTTTCTATTTTACCATCTGTCCACTGAAATATATGTATTTATGATAAATCTTATTAATGTATCTTTGGCTATGATTCCAGTATTTTTTACATTTATGTCAGAGAGAGAGTTTGTTGTGTCCAACTCTTGTTTTATAGCCAAAGATTTAAATATAAGAATTTCAACTGTAATTAAAAATAATTTATGCAAGCTGAATCTTGTCTAACTTCTATTTTATGGAGTTTTGTGGTATCAGCTAGAGCAGGGGTCAGCAAAGTATAGCCCGCAGGCCAAATCTGGACTGTTGCCTGTTTTTTTTTTTTTTTTGAATAAAGTTTTATTAGAACACTAATTTTTATGTTATCTATTGCTCCGTGGGCACTAGAATGGCAGAGTTGAGTAGTTGCAACAGAGACCATCTGGCCCACAAAGCCTAAAATATTTACTGTCTGGCTCTTTACAGAAAAGTTTGCTGACTCCTGACCTCGATCATAACATTCTGTCAATTTTATTTAGAGTATATTTGCTATAGAGTGACTTAACCTGTAGCGACTTGTTTTTAATTGTATAAAATACATAGAACTTCAGTTTGGATTGTATTAGGAGGAAGGTTATTTTTAGGATGCAGTTCTTTAAAAAAAATCAGTGTTACAAATTATGTGATTTATAGAAAGAGTAGCAGAGCTGAAGAGATTTCGTTGTCATTTAATCTCAGGGGATTTCGGCCCTAACTATGCTTTAGCATCACCTGGGGGAGCTTTGTGTAGCTGGGCCCCATTCCCAGAGATTTTGAATTTCATTTGATTGGGTGTGGGACTCAGGCTTTTGCATTTTATAGGTGAGGCAACTAGGTTTTAAAGAGACTGTGACTTGTTAAAGCACATACAGCCATCCAGTGGAGGGAGCTGGGTCAGTTCAGTATTTCCCTTTATCATTCTGCATTCTCCCAACCTAGACCAGAGTTGGCAGACTTCTTCCTTAAAAGGTTAGGAGTTGTATGTATTCCAAAAACCCCACATAATTTCCATATTTCCATTTTTTTTTTTTTTTTTTTTTTTTTTGCTATTTCTGATGTTCTTCACCTAAATTACTTACTATTTTGGGGGGATAGAAGGGAGACTATACACACGATAGAAGCATTGCCAAGTTATGTTCAAGAGACTGGGGGGCTGCTAATGAAATCTTCAGCCTGTAGGGTTATTCCCACCCTTAAGCAATAATTAGGGATCGGCTTACCTTCAGGCCCAGTTAAAAAAAAGTTTAGATTTCAGTGGCCAGGATGAAAAGGGACTTTTTTTTCCTCACAGTTTTAAAATGAATAGGCATTTTCAGTATAAAGCTGAATCAGTCTGTTTCTTCAAAACTTTATAGTGAAAATTTAAGTTTTATGTAAAGGATAGGACAAATTGTATGACATTCAGAATTTTTTATGAATTTAGTTCAGTATTTAGATGTTACCATGAGTTAAATGCATTAAAGATACTTGATTTACTTATGAAGAACTAAGCTTGCTCTTAATAAATGTAGTCAGGGTCTTCACGCTGAGTAAAATTTAGTTTTTTCAAATTATCTTTGTATTTCTGATCCTACTAGTCTATTAACTTGAATTTGATTGAGAGATATGGAAATAGTCAACTAAATACTCTGCTTGGAGACTGAGTGGTGGTGGTGGTCACACTGGACCCTCTTTGACACTGTTGTTGGTTTGCGAGTTTCCCTCTGACCTTTTCCAGTTTTGTTCATGGACTATGTCATAAAGGTTTCTTTCATGAGTAAATTTTGAACCCAGGTTCAAGGTGAGTTCAGAATATACTCGAATTCATTCAATCCTTTTTTTTTTTTTAATGCAGGGTTGTACATATTTTAATAATTTTCTTATGTATCTGGTATTTAATGCTGACAGGATTCCAGTCAATGGAGAGGTTTCATTGCAAGTAGCTGCAGGTGTGTTTCATGGTAGAGATAAAAGTTTTCAGTGAAGCAGACTTTCTTTGTAAAAAAAAAAAAAAAAAAAAATTACATCCTAGTAAATAATAAATATAGATGTTGCTTTTTTTGGGGCAATATGGTATACCTTTATGTGCTATGCTATACTGCTAAGTCAAAATATTGTAAAGGCAAAAAGCATCAGATACCAAATCTAAGAAAGATTTTAAGGATTGTGAAAATGGTACTTTGTATTTATTCTTAAATGGCCTAGTTTTTATAGAGTGAGCAAAATTTAAAGCACCTAATTAGTACAATAAGATTTATAGTATTTCATATAAAAGTGTTCATTCTCTGCAATGTGTTTTTATTTGCTATTGTTGTTAAGTAGGCCCCCCTGAAAACCTGGTTAATGACTATTGAGCTTTCCCATTTTTGGTCTTCCTAGAAAGTATGATCTTTCATTTATCATTTGAGCTTCTGGTCTAGGAATTACGCTATAGCAGGAATTTGCTCACAGGGATTATGTCTCAGAGGGTTTAAAAAAATTGTAGAAAATGTCTCTTTGATAACTTCTTGGTCTTGAAATATTATGTGATGATGGAATCTACCACTCTGCTTGTTACATAAATATTTGTTAAATTTCTCACCATTTTTAGTCCATAACAGTAAGACTAATTCTCTGGAAAAGCTTTACTAAAAGATAAGATACATGTTATTTATTTTGCCTTTTCAGCAAGCTATAGTCAGCAGACTGGACCCCAACAACCTCAGCAATTCCAGGGATATGGCCAGCAACCAACTTCCCAGGCACCAGCTCCTGCCTTTTCTGGTCAGCCTCAACAACTGCCTGCCCAGCCGCCACAGCAGTACCAGGCGAGCAATTACCCTGCACAAACTTACACTGCCCAAACTTCTCAGCCTACTAATTATACAGTGGCTCCTGCCTCTCAGCCTGGAATAGCTCCAAGCCAACCTGGGGCCTATCAGCCAAGACCAGGTTTTACTTCACTTCCTGGAAGTGCCGTGGCCGCCCCTCCAAGCGGGCCTAATCCTTACGCACGTAACCGCCCTCCCTTTGGCCAGGGCTATACCCAGCCTGGGCCTGGCTATCGGTAAGGAGGCTCATCTGCACCCATTAACGTAGCTGCTGGCTGTCGGCCTCCCAAAAGACTCCAATACTATTTTAATTTGTATTGAAGTTCAGAAATTTAAAAAGCAGAGCATTTTTTATCATTGTTGCTGTTAATTGAAAGTATCATTTGCTGGACCACAAAGACCAAAATGAAAGTTTTTTCCTCCCTGCTTAAAAATGTAGCAGCTTCTTAGTTACTTTGGAACACTACTCTTACGTGTATAAAGTGAGTGAGTGACTTTCTAGCTTCCCTTGTCCAGAGGATATTAAAATGCTAGGGTGAGGTTTAGCCATCTTACTTGGCTTTTTACTACTAACATGATGTACTAAAGTAGAGTCCTTTGAGAATACAACTAGATATTATGTATAAAATGTAACACTGATAGGTTAATAAACATGATCGAATCCATTAGTAGTCTTGAAATTTAATTTAGTCATTAACGTGCAAAAAACAGTTTTTTAGAAATCCTTATTATTGGTGTTTGATCTTGAAGTATAAACATTTTAACTTACAGATTTCGATTCAGAGAAACAGTGCCATTTGATTTTTGTCCTTTGGGGGGAAAAAATGCATTTGGTAATCATTGGTTTAAAATAAACTTTATTATTATTTGATATGATGAAAGGTTAACTAAGGACATAAACAATAGATATAATGGGGGTTTGGTAGAGCCTGGATAACTTTGTGATTTTCCTTCTGAGATAAAAGGTATAGTTAACACACTGATGAACCATTCAGAAATAAAAATAAAAACTCATCTTAAAAAAAACTACATCTCTTTATTGCAGAATTTATACTTGTTTGAAAAATACAAAATGTAGCATTGAGAAGATGGAAGCATGTCGCAAGGTAAGCACAGGGAAAGGTCCTTTCAGAATGACGGCGACCGCGCAGCGCGGGTTCTCGGTCCCCGCCTGAAGGAAATACCTTTTTCATAGAAATGAGTCATCTTTTCCTTACAGATTGAATTAAACAGTTAGAAATACATTCTCCGATACAGTCATTTATAGAGGTCTTACATATAAATGCATAGTAAATATCCTGTAAAGTGGCTGGAGAACTCATCATGCATCACCTTTTCGTGCTCAGACTTCACATTCAGTCTGTACATACACCTTCATTAGAATCATAAAAACCATGTGCAGACAATTGGGTAAAGGGATAGTCTGACAAAGCATACTCAGATACTGTAACTCTTATGATGGGTAAAAGTGTATCTTTTGAAACAACGTATTAGACTCCATTTTTAGCTGTAATGAAATTTACTGATTCAATCTTTTCAATGATTTGCCGATGTTTAAAGGAAATACATATTAGCATGAATGTGTAACTATTTAAACTCCTCTGAAAAGCTATTCAGCTATTGCTTAAAAAATTGAAGTTTAAATATAAATGTGAATATTCGGACCTTTTTTCCCCAGATACATATGCTGAAGATAATTTGATCCAATAAGTTAAACTAGAGATTTATGGAATTAATTCATCAATAGGAAGCATACACATCAATAAAAGTATTTTTTTTAAAAAGTATGCAACTTTTTTGATGTTAATTTTGTTATAAAAGTATCTCAAAACATCATTACAACAGTGTGATAAATAATATACAAACGATCTCTTAAAATACCATGTATAGGGAGCCAGCTTCCCCAAAAATGTTAATCTGTTAACATCAATATCTTGCTTTCTTAAAATGACTTTGTAAAACCTGATAAATACTCTTAGCAATCTTTTCTAATAATAAACATCTAGTATTGCTATTAGATTGTAGAATTTTATACATAGTAAACAAAATAGCTTTAAATGAATGTGACATGGTGTTTTCAATGATTGTGTTTGCCGTGATGAAACAGAAGGTAACTTTGTGCAGCATCTACCATTTTCCAGGAATTGTAGTCCCACATTCATACCACTGAACATAATTGATTTGGGTATGACCACCTATTTCTCCAAATTGGACGGGTTCCTGGCGAACTGCTCTGAAATAGCCTGAGAGAGAAAAGAGTTTCATTTTAACAGCTGCTATATTATATTTTTGCCCTCATAGGGCTGATAGATTGAAGGATATGGAATAGCTGAAGGCTAATCTGAGTGAAGCAAAGTAATTTAGAAAACTGAGAGCAAGAAGCTCTGGTGTTTTCTCCTGCGGTGTCATCTTGGTTGGCTAAAATGGGCACCTGAGAAGTTGTTGACGTTTACCATGTCGAGTTAGGAGGGGATGGTTTCACTGCCCATTAATGTGTTCACAGAACTTAGTAGGTCATCTTTTATTATTGTTGGTATTTTTAAGTCCAGTGAACAAAATGTGTTACTGAAAAATTAATCAAATGTTTATTTAAAGAACCTCCTGGTGATTCCTGACTAATATGAACAATTAATTTACCCCCTTCTGCACTGCTTAGACAAGGATTAATTTTTAGTCTTATTCAGTGCTCATTACACAGCTTGATGCTAATGGGTCTTTAGCAGTTTACAGAGGTTATTCATTTTCCACAGAATTATTCTATTTTAATTATATTTATACAGTTATTTGCAAGATATGTACTATTTTTTTCCATTTATAGTAGCAGTAGTTAAAAAAATTTCTTAAGGAGATAAATTGACGTGTGTTCAATATGACAAAACCCATAACATTAATACATTAATGATTTAAGTTTAGGAAACTGCTTTTTTATATCTGTTTTTGCAAATTTAGATTTTCTTGAAGTAGGATGTATTTATATTATGTCTGTATAATTTCTCTTGGCGCTAAGTTTCTAAGCTGAGAAACGTGTTAAAAGTCTTCATTTTTTCCTAGCCAGATGTGTAGAGCAGTAGTACTACAGAATTCTTTCTAAATTGATTGGTTTCCTCCGCTTGATTTCTTTCTGGGTTAATCTGTAAAACTCTGTTGCTTATGAGGAGGATCAGAAAACATACCTTCTTTGATTGGTAACTGGTCAGAGGTGAGTTGCTGCCCAGTGCGTCCATCTAAAAAGGAATCCACAAACTGGCAGTGATCTTCTCCATGGCCCCTCTGATCACCTATGTTATAAAATTTTCCTGAAGACCCGGAAGTGAAAAGGATAAAGTGTTACTTTCTTACTTTGATACGTGGCAGTTCTGAAATAATCTTCATTTACTGTTTTTGTACTTTCTCCCCTCATTCCCTGTTAACCTTGTTCAAACCAGTGTTGGTCTCTTGCCTTCCTGTCTTCTTCCTCCCCTCCGCTTCTCAGAGATTAGCGATCTTTTAAAAATGCATGCCAGATAATGTTTATTCTCTCCATAAACTTCTCCAGGAGTCTCCCATTATACTCAGAATAAAATCCGAAGTCCTTACCTGATTTCAAAGGTCCACATGATTTCACACCTGCCTGCCCCTTCGCTTACTAAGTCTGGGCCATACTGGTGGAGCGGGCCAGGGGTATTCTGTCTTAGGTCTTTGCACTTTCCCTTTCCTCTAGAGCTTTGTGTGGTTAGTTCCTTCTCAATTTTCTCCTTTGTTAGTGCTAACTTTTTTAGAGAGGCCGTCACCTTTTTCAAAATGTTCTTCAAAGTACCTCTATAAATTTTCACTTACTTATGTATTGTCTGCCTCTCTTTACTAAGGAAAGGAGGGAGAGGTAAGCTGTAGGAAAGCAGGAAATACCTTTTATGCTGCTCCGTGTTCAGCACTTAGAACAGTTGAATGACTGAAAAAAAAATCTACTTTTTTATGTTGGGGCCAGCCTATTTATTAGAAATTTTTACTCGGAATGTAGGAAAGTATAACCTATTGGGTATGGAGCAAGGGGTTGTAGCTCTTACAACATCTTGAAGACACTACATTAATTCCATGATTATTGTTAGTCACTTCATTGTCAATAGGCTTTGATCCTGGATGGTTAACAAAATGGAGCTTGATCATGGTTAGTGAAGGTACGTTCCAGTTTGCCGCAATGTCACCGTTTTATAATTCCATATTTATTACTTACGTTCTAAAAGCATTCCTTAAATCCTCGTTTTCTAGGAATGATAACCATTTTAGTAACATTTTGCTCAGAGGAAAACTTGTGTTTACAGCACCCATTAGTGCCTGGAACTCTTAAGAAAAGGCCAAATTGTACAGTGCCGCAAAACATTCCCGTAAGTCAAGGACTGAAAACAGAGCTGGGAGCCCGGCTTACCTGTGAGGGAGTCACTCAAGTAAATCTTGTATCTGAGCGAGTTGCACAGCTGCACTCCTACGAATTTTTTATACCATGTCCTTTTGACGTACTGTTTGCCCTTACACTCTGAGTAAGAGTCTGAAGTAAACGGTCTTTCAGTCCAGATGGCATCTCTTCCTGCTACATAAGGAAAACAAACGGTTTGAGTTTAGACTCTAAGAAATCAGTTTGCAAAATTTGTCAGCTTGCTGATACCTCCCCCTCACCCCATGATAAATACTGGAGCCAAAAATATTAGAAGGATTTAAACAAGTAAAGTCAGTAGATAAATCTGAGAGCAGTATGTTAAGGTGTTTAGATGCTGAATAATTCTGTAGAGCTAGATGTAGACAGTGTCCTTCAGGAGCAAATTTAGGTTTCTTTTTTGTAGCATGTTATAATATTTAGACAACTGCTTTAATATGACTTGTTATTAAAATTGGAAATGAGGGTGTTACATCCATCTCACTATTTTTTGAGACAGGATCTCACTCTGTTGCCCAAGCTGCATCATGGCTCACTGCAGCATTAACTTCCTGGGCTCAAGCAATCATCCCACCTTAGCCTCCCAAGTAGCTAGGACCATAGATGTGCACCATCACGCCTAGCTAATTTTTTATTTTTAGATTTTTTTTGTAGAGAGGGAGTCTCACTATGTTGCCTAAGCTGGTCTCCAACTCCTGGGCTCAAGCAGTTCTCTTGCCTCCGCCTCTCAGAGTGCTGGGATTACACTGGCCGTCTTGTTAAATAGTAATAACCCTGTGTACATGAGTGAAAGCAAATTTCAGAATGTCCAACTTGTTCCCAGAACATCATGGGTCCTCAGTGTTGTACAATGTGTAGGCAAACATTCATACCTGTTTGGTATTTTAAGAAGACTGAGTGGAAAAACGTGAAATTGTGATTTACATTGTGCCAGGCCTGTTCAGTTGAGTAAGTTTAGAAAAACATGGAGTTGTGTTCTCATTGAGACAGGTACTTACCAGAAACTGGCTCACTCACTCTTGGGTCCGCTGAGGAGAAATAAATACAAAAGTCAGACCTTACTAGATGAAACCCCAACATTCCATGTGGCATGGTGAAGGCTATGGGTGCTGACAGTTGTTAAGAAATTTTATTTGCAAAATTGTACATTTTTGCTAAGGATTGAATTTGAAAGTTTGTTTTGTTTTGGAAACTGTTCTTGATTTGATAATCTCCTGCTTGGTAGGTATTCGGTTGTATCAGTTACATGTAATTTGAGTAGTGAGGAACCTTTGTCACTGTTCCAGCCTTCACTTGAATTTCAAAAGCTGCTGCTTTTAAGTTTGATTAAAAAAACTTCATGGTAAAAATCACCAAGATGCCATGAACTATACAGTTGGTATAAAAATTATGCAAATATTAATGCTGTATGTGCAGATGTATCTCATTAAGGAATTGGAGCTTGTAAGGTCTAATTAGAAAATTTCACAGCTGTTACTAAACTATCATGGGGTTCCCTTTCTGGATGTACTCACTGATATTTTGACTCTAGGCATACAGTGAAGTATTCGTTCACTAGCTTTTTGAAAGAGTATAGCTTGATTATGCTTTTTAAATTAAACTAATGTATCTTTAAGTGAGGAAAAACATATATGGTGTTTCTAAACCTTCATCAATTTGCTTTTTCCTACAAATGGGTTTCTAAAAATTCGAGAAACAGAATATATGTAGTGTTTAGCTGGGTTTCAAACAAGCTTCCTATGCAAAACATTGCTCCACTGTGACCCTTTTACATCCTTTCTGGGAATTACTGTTGATGTAATTACCTGATTCAGTACTGAATGCCACTGTGTTGCTGACCGGGCCTTCGCCAAGTGGGTTTTTGGGTTTCACCTGGAATTCATAACTGTTGAGGGAAATAAAAAAAATACTTTAATATATTCCTGAGGGATAGGAGGCAACATTCCCCTTTTATATTGACATTCCTCTTGATTCTATTTTGAAATTATGACAGTCAATGTTCCAGAAGTAGGCTGAGGAAAGAAAAATGATTTCTTAGTTTTACTCTCTGAACAGCTTGTCTAATGTTTCATTAAGCATTAATTTAAAAAAAAAAAGATTGTTGTCTTTAAAAATCTCCAAATTAGTACAAATAACTTGGCATGTTGTTAATAGACATGCAACAAGGTGGTATATGGTAAACAAAGGCTAATTCCAAAAACAAGCCTGTTTCTTAAAGATGTCTCAGACACTTCCTGGGGCCAAGAAGTTGCAAGATTCTGTTTTATTTTCTGTTATCCCAACCCTGAGTATAACCCTGGACATAGGCCATCTTCCTCACTGTGGGGCTTGAACGACTTATGTCAGAATCACATGACAGGGTGGCGGTGGTGAAAGTGTGTTAATCTGCAGATTTCTTTTCCTGCTGTAGGTATGGAATCAATTTTTGAGGAGATTCAGGTCAGAATTTATAACCTCCCTAGGTGAGTCATGCGGCCACTGATGTTTGAGAACTACTATTCTAAGCTATAGTCTATTTAACTGTAGACTAAGCTATGGGAATGGATACACCTAAGTGTTTCTTTGCAAGGACTTCATAGTTGTATTCTTGGAACTTGGGTCTTCTGTGGATTACAGGATGCTGTTGTCCCCAGAAAAGGTGCATGATAGTGTTGCCTTGTGAAGAGCAGGAACACAAACACAGACATTTCTCTCTCGATAACACCAGATTCATATTGGCCAGTCCCTAAATTTTGTTAAAACAACCCCCCAAATGACCCTAGGTCCCTTGGGAATTGTAAGTCCCTTTGACTGTATCCTTAAGAATTATTCATCATATTATTGTGCAGTATTTAGCAATACTTTTTCATAAAGTACGTAAACAAAGCAAATCCTTTAATGAAATTGAAATAGTAAAGCAATTTGCCATTTGCCTGAAATTAAGATTTCCTTTCAGCAGCAAGCGGACTTGGTCGTGAAAGAACTTTGAATTCAAAAATCAACCTGAGTCAGCCAGTAATATTTTGAGAGTCTCAGATTTGTTCAAAGCTTTTGGGAAATACAGAATTTTTGTCTTTGAGAAGTTTGTAAGAATGCAGAATGTACAAAAGATAGGTATCTTATAAACGAGTGAAAAACAGGAGGATGACAGCCGTCTGTTTAGTATAGCTGGTACTAAGTGATCAAAAAAAGACTCAAGTTTCTTGATCACTGAGGTACTGCATTAACACATCTAGTCTAAGACAACAGATTCTGATGCTACAACAACGGCAGCCATTTTGTGAATGCTTACTATGTATCGGATGTATTAGTCATTCTGCATATATAAAGCAATACAACACATGCAAACCCCGATGAGATACGTCTTAATTTTCATTTGAGAACAGTGAGGCTCAAAACCCTTGTACTGTTACTGCTTTTGCTTTCCAAAGCTTTAAAACTTTGTGAAATGGGGAATAAAACTTACCCTTCCTCCTAGGGTTTTTAATGAGAGAACGCAAATGACAGCATTTTGTAAACTGGACAATTGATAAAAGTTGTCATTTGCAATGAGAGACTGTTGATACAAAAACAACTGTCATTTACATAAATCACACATATATGGGGGTATTTTCACATGAAATATTTTCCAGAGATTAAATATTTGTTAAGAGGCTTAAAAACAAAAAGCCCATAGAAGTATAGTGAACTGAAAATGGAAAAAAAGAAATCATAGGCATTTGGACTTTGATTCAAATGGGCAAAGCATTCCACGTTTGTTCCAGGCCGTTGCCCAAAGCTCTGTGCTTTGGCCGAGCCTGACTGACTGCTGGAATTGTCTCCATGTCTTTTTATTTCAGTTTTGTACACTTAAGCTCCATTTTTAGCATGGCCACAAATGTAAGCTACTTTTTTAGCGTGTTTTTTTTTTTGTTTTGTTTTGTTTTTTGGCCCATATGTTTCGTGATACTTGACAAGTTTCAAAGAAATCATTTTGCACTAAATTTAACATGGGAACTGAAAGGCACATTTTTGTTACGGTCTGATTAAACCCTATATAACAAAAATTACTTGTGGTGGTAACATTTTTTCTGAAGAAGCACATTTCGTCACAAGATCATTGACATCACGGGCCTAAGAGAAATGTCTCACTGATTGTACACAGAAAATAAAATTTAAAATTTCAGGAAACAAAGTTCTTTGAAGTAAGAAACCAAATAGAAGTTTTGGAAGATAAAGTTGAGGACATTTTACAAATACTAGAACAAAAAGTAAAAGATGAATAAAAGTGAGAGAAAAGTAAGTTGGAAGATTATTCTAGAAGATACAGTACCCAACTAATAGGAATTCTAGAAGAGAGAACAGGAAAGGAGACAGAAAATTATTCTAGAAATTGTGTAATCAATTTCCCAGTACTGAAAGATGAGTTTCTAGATTGACAAGACCTACTCTGCCCAGCAGAATGAGAAAGGACCAAAACACAGGAGTTAGAAAATTCCAGTGGATCCAGAATCAGAACTGGAAGTTAGAAAACAATAGAACCATTCCTTCAAAAGTCTTATTTTATCCTAGTAAGTCCAGCTAAACAATAATATCAAAGTAGAACAAATTTTAAAACATGTAAGGACTCAAAAATACTGATTTCTGTAACTTTTGCTCAAGATACATTAAAGACTACAAAGTAATGGAGTAAACAAGGAAGAAGACTTGCGATGCAGGAATTGGGGGGTTCAAAACAGGCAAAAGGTGGCAGGAATTGCAGAAGAGACGTTGCCATTGAAAACACACAGCAAATGGAACAGAGAGATGGCCTGGAGTATTTGATCATCCTGGGAAAAGGTCAGGCTAGACATAGGGATTTAATTAACAGAAGAAATAGGCAAAATAGTTCAAAAACAAAAAACTTCGCATCTGGGGAACCAAATTTACGAACAGGGAGGAGATGCTTTTGTGGTAACTGAATTTTAAAGCAATATATGTACATTTCTGATTAAAAGTGAAAACTCTAAGACCTACCACATCAAATAAATACCTAAATGGAATGCAGTCCAGATGACAACTGCAGTCAAGCCTTTTGGCCCCTTCTAGGACAAGCCAGGTGAATAAAGCCTCAGAATGCCATGCCTGGTTCTACCTAGGTAGGTGTAAACCCCAACAAAAACCATCTTCCCCACACATCCCCATCAGGAGGCAGCATGATCCAGGGGCATTAAATACATGGGTTCTAGAACCGGAAAGATTCACAGCTTACTAATGTGTGACTTCAAGGTAACTTAATCTGAGCTTCAGTTTACTCATACATAAAAATGGTAATGCTATGTGTGAGGTTACTATTAATTACAGTAGTTACAGCTTCACAAGAGTATAAAAGTATCTGTGAAGATTAAATGAGAATGCATGTAAAAGCAAGGTGCCTGACACATAGTAGTTATAAATATTCACTAGTAGTATATTATTTATTTATTTATATTTATTTATTTTTTGAGATGGAGTTTCGCTCTTGTTACCCAGGCTGGAATGCAATGGTGCAATCTCGGCTCACCACAACCTCCGCCTCCTGGGTTCAGGCAATTCTCCTGCCTCAGCCTCCTGAGTAGCTGGGATTACAGGCATGCGCCACCATGCCCAGCTAATTTTTTTTTTTTTTTTTTTTTTTTTTTGTATTTTTAGTAGAGACGGGGTTTCACCATGTTGACCAGGATGGTCTCGATCTCTTGACCTCGTGATCCACCCGCCTCGGCCTCCCAAAGTGCTGGGATTACAGGTGTGAGCCACCGTGCCTGGCCATTATGTTTATATTCAGAATTTAAAAAAATATTTTATATTACTAGGAAATTTGACAGTCCTTAATGGCCACATAAATTTGGTTTTGGCTTCTGAAGGTTATAATAAGAGCATAGCCCACGGGTTATTGGGAAGATCAAAAATTTAACAGGTAAACGTTTCTGCATGCCATCAACATAGATCCATAGGCCAAGAAAAGAAATGTTATATTAAGATATGTTAATACATTAATTACTGGGTCCAAAAAGCACTGCAAAGCATCACTTCAGAAGAGCAGCATAATAGCGGGTTTGACACCAACAGTTTGAGAGCAGCTGTAAAAATCAGTGTGAGAACAAAAGAAGTACATCAGTTCACTGAGAAGTGAAAAAGGAAGGTTTCAAAAGTGTGATCTCTGGTTCATGAGCAAAACTGTTAAGAGACAGAACCGCCAACCTGCGGGATTCTAGCCTCGGACCGATTTCTTCTGCAGTGGACGTGGTGGTAACGTCCTCAAGGGCAACCTTCAGATCTGGCCCGGGCAGACACCTGTCGTCCCCACCCTCTTTCTACCCTTTCTATCACCTTTTCCTTCTACTTTTGCCTACAATTAAAACTGAAGTTTTCATTATTTGATAAACTTTTCAGTTACGCACTCCTTACTAGTTTAAAAAGTTGCTTTTCATTCTAACAAAAGTCTTAACAAGCCTCAAGCAAACTGCTTTTTATATAGAAAGTCCGCCCTGTAGCTGCTTGTTGGTTGGGGTTGTTTAGCTGGCCGATCTTTACCCCTAGTGTAGTCTTGAAATATTTGATCTCCATTCAGGTGAGGATTTAGTCAGAGGGAGATACATGGAAAAGCCAAATAAGAAAAAAATAAGAAATAAAAAAGAGTAAAGCCTGCTCGACATGGGAAAGGAGAATCTAATCAATCAGTTTGGGTAAGCTTAACTCCAGGGACATTGAAGGATTATGGTAAGCATTTCTGGATACCTGCCACAGGTAAAGTCATTGTACAGATCTGGGAACACAGACAAGGAGCAAGAGGGAAGAGCCAAGCGTGCACTTAGAAGTCAAAAAAGGCTAGGGTATCAGCAGTCGTAGGATCATGAACCAGCTGCCTGTTATGCCATAAGCAGTGTTTTTTGGTGTTCCCCTATTTCT